AAAACACCCGTAGGGGTTTTTTTCCCATGGGAGCCGGCTCCCCTTTATTGGAGCCAGCTCCTAGGCTTCTAGAGCCGGCTCTCCCTCATGGAGAGCCGGCTCTCTCTTCATGGGAGCCGGCTCCCACCATTTAGGAGCCGGCTCTCACCCCTGAGAACCCCTCTCTGCTTCACTGCTTCGTTTCTGCTTCATCCGGTTGTCGTCTGCTCTTCCGGCGAAGCCCAATGTCCTATCCCAAATATTTTTAACATTCCTAGGGTTCTATTCAAGTTCCTAAAGTCCTAGAAATCCTACATATTCCAATATGAATTTATTAACAAAGTTTCAACCGAAACAATTTTCTTTTCCTCTGTTTATCTTCTTCGCTTTCGGCGAAGACCACTCCTCTGCTCCAAGTTCCCTTAAAGTTCTTAAGGTTCAATACAAGTCCCAACAATCATAGAAACTTTTAAAAATCTATTATGAACTTGATTGACAGAAGTTTAAATAAAAAACAACACAGTTTGAGAAAAACCCAATTTCAGTTATTTAACCGTAAAACAGGTTACAGTCTAATATAACATGCATCAATTATTAGTTTTAAAGGTTGAATTAATCCCTGGAGACTATATAGAATGCACAAAACACAAGTTTATAGGAAGGAGACAGAATGAAACTTGCCTTTGAGATTTTTGAATTAAAATCCCTACGCCGTCTTCCTAGATTTTCCGGCGATTCCGCACTGTTCTAACTTATTTGCTTCCTCCTTGGTTCCTCATACAAACAACACTCCTATCCTTCCTTGGTTCAACCCACAGTCTATGGCTGAAATCCCATCTGGTGGTTCTATCAGTTTCAAGCGCCCCACTGTTTTTCCCTCAAACACCCATTACATGTCTCTGTATCTCTCTATCTCACAATACGTGAAAAGGGTTTTGTTCTCCTAACCCTAACAGACATATAAGATTATATATATAGGCACTTACTAAGACCTAATTCCAATTCCTAGCTAACTATAAGTCGGCTTATTTATCTCTATAAAAGAAAACCCTAATCCTATATAACCATACAAAAAAATATATGCCAAATAAGTCCTATTAAAACATACGTCATTTAATCTTACTTTTAAGTAAAAAAAAAACAATTAAATTAAAGCAAAATTAAATAGTTAAAGCAACACAGCCAATTAACATAAAATAGATAAATAATTAATTTAACATACATAAACAATTACAATACAACAATTAAATTAAATACACACAAATAATATTAAATCAACTAATTTAACCAAATAACAAATAAGTCCAATAATTTAAATAAAAATGAAAAACAACCAAAATATTCCCATTTTATCCTTTTGAAAACTAGGGGTATTACACGAGTCGTCAGTCTCTTATGAGAGTGGGGTTTGTTACCCTTTCCATTTGTTCTAGTCCTGGCAAGGACGTCGTTTGTTGTGAGTCTTGTTCTCCCTTTGGAGTTGTGCGCGTCCACGGATGGACGGACCTATGTGTGGTTTGTTGCGCTGTTTGAGTTCATCATTAAGGTTTTGTTGGTTTAGTCGACTCACTCCCACGTAGGGGAATAAGTCATTGGTTCTTAGTGGTGCTTGTTTTGAGAGTGGTTTGACGGCACAAGTTGCCGAATAGGGATTGTGTTTCCAGTGCCTAGTTTTGTCAGTGATGGCTAGGGGTGTATCCTGAATGGTAAGTTTGAGGATGGTTAGGTGACGTGATGTGAGTCAAGTACTTGGGTGTTTTTATTGATACTTGATTTGAACAGTGTCTCGAGGACAAGTGTTTGTATTGTTTAAGTGCTATGCAACTAGGAAGTGAATATGGGATTCCATTGAGGAATAATGGAAAAGATTAACTCTGGTTTCGAGATCTCAGGTATGGGATAGTTGTATTGTATGTTTTGACGAGGTAAGAATTAAATTGAATAATGTTATGGAGTTGCCTACCTAGTATGGATGTTATGAAAAGATCAAGAGCTTGTATGCTGATTGATGATTGTGGTATTTGGTGTTCTATTGGTTTTAGCTTGTTAGGGTTGTATGATTAAAGCATGATTGGGATTTTTGGAGTAAGTATGTGACTGTTTAGCCATTGTGGTTACGTAGAACGATGGATTGATAGTGAGTGGATCTCATTGTAGTTTTATGGACTGTGTGAGATTATGTTTGAGGTTTGGACCTGAGGACAAGAACGATTTCTGTGTTGAGATCGAATCGATGATGGGAATGGCTCGGCCAACCATTTCTCCTGAATCAATCCCTCTTAGCACGATGTCTGGTCAAAGGTCAATGATTGTTTCAATTTGTCAAGGATAGTGAGAGCATGGTATTGCGCGTTGTGTCGGTGTAGACTCAGGTTACGAGGTGTTTTAGGTAGGACCAAGTGTCCAACAAAGGGGTTTGCGGTACGATCGTTGATTATTGAAGATCTTGTTTTGAGGATTTGAGTCCTGGGTACAGGATAATACGCTTTATTGTTTTGGTGACTTATGATTATGTAGTCGTTGGGAGATCTTTCGTTTAGTCATCTTAAAGTTGTTTAGTATGATGGTTGTCGTATAGTGCGGTTAGTAGTCGCTGTTGCGGTTATGTGATGGTATAGCTATGCAGTAGATAGCGAGTGCTTGGTTTAACAAGGATGTGTAGGTTTGAATTTGAGCTTAATTGTGTGATGGACGGGGTTCTAGTCTGGGGTTTTGTGTGTCCTTTAAAGGATGAGTGGAGTTTGGATGTTGTCATGTTCAGTGGTCTGATGACTGTTCTTCTTTCGGGTTTTGGAGCCTTTCGTGGCAGTGTAGAGTGGATCGATGTCCGTTTTGAGTCGGGTATAGTGTAAAACGTATCAGTTGGTTTTGTATTCTGATGTTGTGAGTGATGAGTACACTCATAAGGTGGTGAACATTGTGATTTAGTGGCAGTGGTATGTGATTGCCTGTTGACGTCCGGTAACAAGGCAATGAGGTTAGTGAGCTCTTAATCTTGCAGTTTTGTGGGGTGTTTTTCAGAAAGTCGTGTGGCCGTGAATTTTCTTTTTAGGAGGGTAGATTTTGAGGACGAAATCTTTTTAAGGAGGGTAGATTGTAATATTTCTTTTTTATTTATTTTTCTGATGAGCCCCACTTTGACTTGTCATTATAATGACCAATGGTCATTTTGTAGACCATCTTCTATCTCTTTCTCTGGCGCAATATCTCTGTCCCTCTGTCTTTTTCTTTTCTTTTTTCTTTGAGCTTTATTATTCTCTTCCATTTTTGGGCCAAACGATAGGGTTTCCGATTTTGATTCCTTGATAGAAAATGTTCCTCTCGTCGTTCTCTATCACATACTCAAATGATTTAATTTTTGGAGGAGCGGTGATTATTTTACGAATTTTTGAAAATTTTTCGATCTAAGGCTTCGGATGAGGTTTTGAGCCACTTGAAGTCGGATTCCGGAGCTCACCTTTTGGAACAGTAGAATCACCTCGTTGATGGCTACGTTTCCACCGAGCAGTTTTCCTTTCCGCCGCCGTTGACCGGCATTGACCGTGTTGACCGGCGTTGACTTTTTCGGCTGGGGATATATTTTGGCTACTTTTGGAGGTAGGGGTGCTCTAATTCACAATTTCTTAGGTTCTATGGGAATTTTCCTTCTCCAATTGAGTATAAGCATGTTTAATTTCAATTATTTTGACTATGTGATTGTGGTAGATTATATGTAAAGTAGTAGATGTATGCTATGTGATAAATGAGTTTGTAAATTTAATTACATCCTTGTAGTGAAGAAGCATGCTTAGAAATGACAAGTTGTTTATTTTATATATTTCAATTGCTATGGAAATTTGATGAAATAAATATTTAAAATATTCTTTTACAAGTTGTGATTATGATATGGGTAAAATGTATGGAATATAGTTGTTGAATTTGGCATTTGGAATCATAAAGTATTTATGCATCCATTGGGAAAGAAAAAAGGGAAAAGTATATTTTTTAAAACCAATGAAATTGTTTCGGGGAAAAGTTTTTGAAAAGTGTTTGTGAAAATCCGGAAGCCTAGGAGGCGCCTAGTGGTCCGTGGTGTTAGTGTGGTCTAGAGAGGGGATTAGGGAGAGACCCTGTGTGGTTGAGCTAACCAGGCCGGATGCGACGCCTTAGAGGTGCCTTGTGGTCGTGGATGGTTAGCCAATCCCCCTTTCGTGACGCCTTGGAGGTGCCTTGGGTCGGATTACACTAACGGTTTGGAAGTTTAAACGGTATAGTTTCAAAAACGGGAAGTGGCATTGCATAACATGGCACATAATTGGCATATGTGGTGCATTTGGTAATGGGTTAAGATAGGTATGTTTGTTAATGATACAGTAGTTTTACTTGACCTCTAAGATATGATCCCGTTCTCTTACTTTCTATTCTCTATGTGGATTCACGGGGTCATAAGAGGTGTGTCTTAGACACTTCCTACTGAGCGTTTAGCTCACCCCATCATTTTAACATTTTTCAGGACACGGATGGCAGGTGGCGGACGACGCTCCTCCATAGGGTTTGATGGGTTAGTGGACTGTTTTGACATATTTCGTAGCTATGATTTCATTTCATTATTATTGTTATTTTCTAATTTTTTTTAAAACCATGGTATGACTCGTATATTATATATTGACGTAGGAAAGGACGGTAGTGTCTTTAATTAACATCGGGTTCAGATAAGGACCCGGTTAGTGATTCGGACCCTCAGGTTCGGGTCGTTACAGTTCAAACGTGTGAGAGAATTGCCATTATTTATCAATGTGGCTTTTCTTCTAGACTGCACACACACAAGAGACAGAGGAAGTGATAAAGTTTCTTATGGGGAAGCAAGCATCCAATATCGTTTACTTGTCTGATACGCATATGCAGCTAAAGAGACAACTTTAGCACATATTATAAAGAAAGCCAACAGTACTAAATCACAAACTAATATGCAACAATACATAAAACAGTCGACAGTAGTAAACACTCAACTGGCAAATTGAAATACTAGGGCCCTTCAACAACTACCCGTTGCACACTACAGGCACCTTCTCATTCAATTCCAATTCCCTGAATCGCCGAGGAAGGATACGACGACCCCCAAACCGCTGCTGCAAGAAGATGATCACTGCAAAGATTATACCTCCACAAGGAATGATCACATCCCAAGCAGTGGAGTAGAAATCTGCAGTAGGATTCGCATACATGTATGACCCATTGAAACGCTGGGGAACGAAGTTGTGAGCCCTGTAAAGATCATATGCATGAGGTTGCAATCGAACAAAAGTAGTGCCAATGTAAAATGAACGAGATAGAGCATTTTCTCTTGAAATTTGGAATATGTTGAGGAGGATTTGAGGGACCAGAAAACCATCAATGACCAAACCAGCATAAGATCTCAAATCCCCCCAGAGGCTATGTTGTTGGTAAGCGACAGAATGAGAAGACAATGTTGTCTTGCCATTTATGTTCTTCATCCAATTCATGAACAATGCAATGAGTGCCCCGGAAATGTAGAATGCTATAGTCACAAGAAGTGACTTCATTTCAGCAACCCACAGGCCCTTTTGGTTCCCATCACTTGACCGCACAGACCATGCCAGTTGGAGAAGACGGAATTGCAGCAAGAAAGCTGCCATTGTAATTACCCTAACGATCACCTCATTGACTTCAAGCCATCCACCACTTCCAAGCAATACAGTTTGGTGATTGTAATTTTTCAGGAAAAGGGCATCAAAGTTCAGCAAAAGAGGAATCATGTGCCCCAAAGTTAGGATCACAAGCATGACCAGTGAAATGAAAGGAAGCACATTCTGGTGCTTTTTGACATAAAATAGTTGCAACCCCGCAAAGACACATGCAAGTGTGTTAGAGATTAAAGCCATTGTGATCTCCAAATCCATCCTCCAGATAGATCGTCTAGCTTCAACAGTATAGAAAGCTGTTGAGGAGAAGTCCAAATGATCAAAGAAAAGAGGATCTGAATGTTTCCTTGTGCTTTCAATGCTTCCCTTAATAAAACCTCCCTTCTTTGCATTCACTGGAGAGAATTGGAATTTCAGAAGAATTTCACAGTCCATTTTTGATTCCTGAATGTATGAACCAAGCTTTTTACAGCCTACCATACAGAGGTGTCCTGTTTCCTCATTGTACATCCCCTCAGCAGAAATTTCCTCTTGACCATCACTACTCACATTAGATATCCCATCAGCTAAGGGATTTAATCTTATCTTATAGCTGATATTGAATGGAGTACTAGGGTTGGCTTCTATCTCAACTTTAGAGCTTGGCTCAACGGCTATAGCGATTTCAAGAGTCTGACCATACTCACGCTCATAAAACTGATCACCCACAGAGACGGGGAATGCAGAACCCCAAGCAGTTCTTCCTTTAGAATCTTTTACAGACATGTCAAACCTCATATCATAAGAATTTCCACTTGGGTATCTCAGCCCTTTGTTTTTAGAAGGCTTCTTCACTGGGCATAATTTTTTTACTCTGTCCATTTCAGTGTACTCATACTTCAAACCAGAAGCACCCAATATGTGACGGGAAGAACCTCCAAACCTGATCCTAGGGAAGTACCCAGAATCATTTTCAGATTTGTTACTCCAAATTTGCCCAACAATACCCAATCTTTGTTTTATTGACCAGACTGCAGGGTATCTCAAGCTCAACCTAGTTGAACAATCCCCAACACGAGCATTTCCCAAAGAATCAGAGGGATTCAAGATCCGGCAAGCAACGATGCATAGCCGGTTCTTCTTTCCATCCCATGATCCTTCTGCAACCAATCTCGTGCTCAGATTGAAAGGCTGATAATAATACCCGTAGCTGCTGTTTGAAAATTCTAATAGATATCGTACCTTTTGTACCACCTCTGAACACTGAATTTCAAACAAGGACATGAACAAATACCCAGTACCCTTGCCAAAAGGACTACAATTCTGGGAAGAATTGCACTCCCTTGCATACTCCAATTTAAAAGGACTAGACTGCCTTCTGAACATTGAACAAATACTTCTCGGTTGCAATCCAAGAGAGTGATTCGATGGAATATCAATTTCACCAGGACACCCACTATCGGATTCCTCTGAAACCAATGTGTAGTGGTAGTGACTCATCACGGGAAATGCCAATATTGAAATTGGATCAAAGTAATTCGAATCATGAGAAGAAGTCAAGCTCTCCAATGTTCCACCAACTAAACTAGTAAAGATTGTTGCATTCTTAGCATAATTAAGCTTAAGACGAGCCTCAAGTTTAAGAGAGTTACCTTCTCTCGAGTGCCATGAAGCTGAGCCCAACATGCAAAGCTTCCCAGAAGATTCAGACCAGAACCCTCTTAATATGAATTTAAGTGGAAGACGATATCCAGAATAGTAGGAAGATTGGCCATGAGTTGAATTCTTTAGAACATAGGTATAGTGGGAGGATTTGAAGAACAAGAAGGCCTTAATCTTGTAAACACCAGTGGCTTCGGTTTTATAAACGTTTCCGGTAGCACGAAAGGAGAGATAATTCCCGTAATTAAAGAAATGAGTTGAGTTGCTGCCAAGAATATTGTCACCACCATTGTAGCGACCGGACGGTATATAGAGATATGGCACGGTCGTGTAGTCGCGAACAGTTGGGGTCGACTCCGGAACAATTGAACCACAGTGATCAGTGTAAGAGGGTGGAGTTGTAGAAGAAGAAGAGACCGAGATTGTGGAGAGAGAGAGAAAAAAGAGAGAATTAAACCATGTGAATTGATACCTCCTTTGTGCGGAGGTGATTCTTGAAGACGAGTACTCCATTGCCATGATCATAGTTTTCTTGATGTATGAATGTATGTGCTAAAAGGTCACACAGCAAGAACTAGACATGGACTGAGCCGAAGTCAGCAATGAGCATGTCACGATCTGAACATTTTTTACTATGTACTATGATTAGGAGAGGTTCGTCGGATTATGGCTTATCTTTTAATTTATTGCGAAGACGGGCGATAACATCAAGGAAGAAGACTTTGGAAATTTCGCGAGGGAACGGCGAGAAGACAGAAGAGTGATGATGGAGTTGTTACGTTATTAGTCCCGTGGAATTGAATTTGATCTTACAATATAAGAGTGCAGATTTGTATTTGCAAGTCGTGTTCATATAAGAGTATTCAATTAAATTATAGAGGTAAAGCCAAACACAGCCAGTTTGATAATTTAACATATTTATTAAACAGGTTATTAGTATTAATCTATTTAATAACATATTTATTAAAACAAAGATTATATTATTTATAATCATCATTTTAAAAAAATAATAATAATAAGAGGAATCGAAAAGATATTCCCGAATTAACACCGAATTTACCGTGGTTAGTTATACTTATTACTTAAACAATTATTTTTTAAAAATTGTTTAAATATATGAGGTGGACAAAAACCAGTTAGATTCGGAACTTATTCAACAAAATCATTCGGTGATCTTATCATTTTCCTTTAAAAAAATATAAATCTCAACCTTGACAAAATTACTAAACCATCACATAATTCAATTAGTAACGACAGCGAAGGAATTAACGTATAGTTTTATGTAATTTTATGTTAAAATAACTTAATAATTTATAATTAAATGGGTATAAACTGGTTACATGAGTTAAATCATTAAACCCTAATACAATATGATTAACTCATTTAAGATTAATTAAAATTCACTGTTCTTTACGTGTTCGATTAAAATTGACGAATTGTATAAAACTTTGTCATCTCGACTTTACATTGTAACCAAACAATGTAATGCGAACTCTAAAAGGGTCGAGATGGCAAAAAGGCGAAAGCGTTGTTTGTACGCTGCATATTGAAGTAAACAAAAAAGTATAGGAAGATGTCTTTGATATTTCCGTTGCCTCCTGTTAGACGACACAGGCTAGAATCACTTGACTTGAGAAGTCAACAGCAACTTTATTTCAAATTGATTAGGTCAATGTTTTTAAGGCGATGACTAATAGTGAATTGAATAAGGCTTGAGCAGTTGAGTAGCCTTGAACTCCTCTCCTAGACATCTAATAAATAAGATGATTGGGATATAATAATTAATTTGAAGTTTAGAATTAGTTGCTGTCGTTATTGTTTTTTAAAATTTTATATTATTATTAATTTGCAATTAGCTCATAATGTTTTTTTTATGAAAAAAATAATTACAAGACTACATTGTCGTCATGTCATGATCTAAAAATAATAACGACGTGGCCTGTTCTCACATTATTTATAATGGAAAGGGTATTCATATGATTCAAAGTTTATATTATTAGATAGATCAATCTATAAATCTTTATAAATTTAAGAAATTTTTTTATTCGGATTTAATGTAAAATAAGAACCTTTAATAATAGTCTAGACCCTTATTCTTGCAAGACAATTTAAGTGTGTGAACTTATTTTCAAAATAAAAAAATAACAATAAGATTATTTATCGAGCTAAACTAATTGGATCATGAGATTTACTTGGCTAATGTTAGGCTAATCTCGAGCACATTGAAAAAAAAAAAAAAAAACACACCCTGATATAAAGCTAAACAAGTCCTAATTACGCAAAATCATGAGCAAATTTTAACTCCAATTATATACGTAACAGAATTGAAAATGTTGATCAACTCGGAAAACAGTTATGAAATCATATTCTGTTTTTAATTTATTTGAAGCCAAATGGTTCATGAACGTTGGTTTAAAGTCCTAAATATAATTTGCAAGGTTGGTGACAAAAATCAAACATTTGAGTTGAATTTTTGCAACTTAAAATGATAACCGTCTCCATCACAACGAGTATCTCCATGCGCTTAAACCGATTCAACTCATATATATGTAATGTCCCAAATATTTTTGAATTTTTTGATAATTTTTTTTATTTTCAGTATTTATTATATTGTGCATCGATTTACATGTTAACCGAGTTATGAGATTCAATTGAGATATTTCTTCGAAGTTAGAATTATTAAAAATATATTTTAATTTAATTTATTATTTTTTAATTTTTGAACTTCGAAGATTCTGTGTGGACCCGAGATCGGGTTTCGGTGCTCGAAATTTTCCTTACTTCGTTAGCACTTTATTATTTTTTTATTGGTGTATATTTAAATGCATTTACGTGGCTTGTGTGTCATGTTGTAGACAGATATTCAATGGAGAGATATTTTAGTACATTTTAGTGATTAGGATGGGACCACCCTCTGACCAATATGAGGAAAGAAGGGCCACATATCAGTTTTTTCGGGTTTCATTTTCATCACCACCTCTCCCTCTCATCCGTGTACTCTCTCTATACACTGTCTCTCATTCTTCATTTTTCTTTCACTTTTTAACCTTTTAAATCATGATTTGATCTAGTTTGGGAAGCAATCAAGCAAAGTGCTAGTTAGAGTCTTAGAGAAAATATTCTACTCATTAAAGGGTTCGATTTTATAGCAATCCTGAAGCCATTTGGACAATTTTGATTTTGGAGGACTTTGATCTTCCTTTGAGGTAGGGATGTCTAAACCATATAACTTTGCCTCTTTGTAAGTTTTTCTTTGGTCTAAATCTCAAGTTGAGCATGGTAGTTTTATAAATTTTGATGTGATTGATTTAGTTGTGTTTAGAAATTTGAAAATTCATGTTCTTAGTTGATAAAGATGGAAGTCTTGTCATTTACTTGCTTAATTACTTCCATATGTGTTCAATTGTTGTAATTGAAAGTATGTGTATATGATAGTTGTGTTATGCATGTGGAAATGTACTTTTTACTTGCAAATTATGAAGTTAAACCTTGTTCTCAACACATGCTTATTTTTCTATCATGTTCAGAAGTTGTTTCGATTAAAAGCCTTCATGAAAGTATGTATTAGTTGGATATCAATGTCTTGATTTCTTGGTTTCCAACGAGTATTCTTATATGATGAATATGATATAGCATCCATTCTAATCAATAGTATTGGCATTGGCATTGATGATGGCATTGGTATTGAGTTGGGTTGGCCAGGGGAATGATTGATTTCCAAAAGTTGTGAAATGAATTTCAAGAAAGGGAAAGGTGAATCCAAGGCTAATTCAACCTAGAGGGAGTACGTACCGGGTAGGACGTGTATAATTGAACTAAATAGGCTTCAAATGGCCATCGGTGAGAGGCCAGGGATAGTTGGTTAACTTCGACTCGGTAAAGTTGGTTAGCGATTTTGGGTGTGAGTTTGGGTTGGAGTCGGGATTGCATTCATTGCATGGCTCATTATCATTGACATTCAATACTTAGTTGTTTGTAAATTGATTGCTATGAAATTATGTAATATCCATGTCTCATGTTTTCCCTTCAAAAGCATGACCCATAATCCATTCTTAACCCTTTCATTGGGTGCTAGGCTTAAGGGAGTCTAAAGTATGTGTTATAGACATTCTCTATTGAGCCGTCGTGTTAACTCCTTATTTAACATTTTTCAGAAACCGGAAAGGAAATAGTAGAGGACGTATCCCCACAAGTGTAGACAGAGGTGTATAGACCTTGAAAACATTTTCGGTGTTGAAGCTAGAGTAGATGGATGACCGTTTTGTAAATGTCCTTATTTTGAAATTTGATGTAAAGGCATTGTATATAAGACTAAGTTGGTCTCATCTTTATAATCATACTCCTTGGATACTCTTATATATTTTGGGACATATAAATGATGGCAACAATGTCATTTTTGTATAAATAATGTGAAAAGGATGAGTTGGACGAACTCTATGAATGTATGTATTGTTATGCTTTTTATATATATATATATATATATATATATATATATATATATATATATATTATTAAAAATAATTATAAAAGAAAAAGAAATAAAGTGGTGGGACCCACCTCCTATTATAACAAAGGTAATGGCTTACCATTACCATTTGGCAGACAGCTCTCTCTCTCTCTCTCTAGCCTTTTTATTTTTTATTTTTTATTTTTTTTTATACAACTTCAATATTTGATTCCTCCTTCCATTCTTGGAAGTTTTGAATGCTGTTTGCAGCAAATCGAAGAGCACGGCGAGATCTACATGTGAGTACCAGCAATTTCAGTTTTGGTGCACTCTAAGGATTTCGAAATTCTAGGGTTCTTGGGCTCAAATTGGGGATTTTCATCAAATTTGAGATAGGGGTGCTCTAATCCACTATTTCTTAGATTTCTTATGAATTTTCACCTTTAATTTGAGTTGAAGCATGCTTAATTTTAATTTTTGTGATTATGTTTGTTAGGGTTATTTATATTTATGGTGATAAATGTGTGTTATGTGTTAATTGGGTTTATTAGTATGATGATTTTCAATTTGTAAAGAAGTATGCTTAGTGTTGGTTTGTTTCATGATATCAATTGCTATGAAAATTTATATTATGATTAGGGAAATAAATTTGTGAATTGTATATTTAAATCGTTAGCAAAATGTGGAATGAGAATATGAGTTGTGTATTTTTGGTAATTTATTAATTTATTTGAAAAAATATGTGGGAACTTTATGATTAAATTGATGAAATGAAGCATGAAGCATTCATGCATCCATTGGGAAAGACAAAGGGGAAAAAATGTTTTAAAATAAATGAATTTGTTCTTGGGAAAAATAAAAAAAATAATTAAAAATTCAAAGGAATTTGCGAAAACCGGACGCCTAGGAGGCGTCTATCGGTCTGTGTTGTTAGTGTAGTTTAGAAGGGAGTATGGTTAAGCTAACTAGGCCAGATGCGACGCCTTGGAGGTGCCTTGTGGTCGTGGATAGTTAGTCAACCCTCCATTCGTGACGCCTTGGAGGTACCTTGAGTCGGATTACACTAACGGTTTGGAAGTTGAAACGGAAATGTTTCGAAAAATGGGGAGTGACATTTGCATAACATTGCACTTTATGACATTATGGTAAACTTGTGATTGGTTGATATTTGTTACATACTTGTTATTGTGTTGAGAATGTGCGTTTCCCTATGGCATGATCCTGTTCACTTTTATCTATTCATTGTATTCAAGGGGATATAAGAAGAGTGTCTTAGACACTTCCTACTGAGCTTATTGTCACGGACTTGGACCTTTCCAAACTCGCGTACGGCCTTAGACACTTTCAAGCCCCTTTGAAGTGCTAAGTCAGCCTACTTGAGTGTGCTAACTTAGTGAAGACTAAAGCTAGACAAGTGTTTTGCTTACTTGGGTGTGTCAGAAGAGATTAGGCAAGTAAGCAAGAGAATTTGGGAATGTATGAATACTTGTATTACTTTAGAGGAGATTACACCTTAGGTTGCTTGGTGTAGAACAAATAAACTCCCACCTCCTATTTATAGGCCTTTGGCCTTACAAAAACATTCTAGATGTGTACAAATATATGACCTAGAATAAGTGTCTAGAATCCTCCAAAGATATATCTACACAATTCTAAGACTATCTACAATGTACAAGATAAGTCTAGAGAATTCTATACAACTCTAGACAAGTCTAGAAAAGGCTAGACAATTTCACACTAATCTAGAGAATTCTGGAAAGTTCCCTACTTGTGTAGAGAAGTCTAGAAAGCTCCGGTCCAAGCAGGCTCCATGTCATCGTCTGCTGGGCGTCTGTGTGGCGTAACCTCTTGGTTGCGGGACATGACATTATGCTCACCCCATTATTTTTAACATTTTTCAGGACATGGAAAAGAGGTGGCGGACGACGATCAACCACAAGTTTAGACGAGCTTGGGGATCTATTTTATTTTTGCTATCTTTTGTATTAGAACTCTAATTGTAACGACCCGAACCCAAAGGTTCAAACCGTATTCGGGTCCTTACTCGAATCCGAGGTCATCTACTGTTACTACAGTCATTACCAACTCTAAACTACAATGAAACACATCGTACCAAATCTGAAAACTGAAATATGGATTCTAAGTTTCTAAAGTCCTGTAATTTCCGAACTCATTTGTGAACCATGTTAAAGGCTAACCCTGTCCCACAACAGTCACCACATGCATCTATAATGGTAAAATTCATAATCTCACACACAGAGGAAAAACTAAAAGTTCATTTACATGATACATTACATCCGACTACAGTCCCTGAACATAAGTTTACGAAAGAGATACAAAACAAGTTTAAAATTTTACAAAACTTATATATGCAACAGAAAAATTAACACAAAAAAGTCCATTTAGTCCTGTCTAAACTTGTAGGGATTTTCTTTCGCCACATCCTTTTCATGTCCTGAAAAATAATAGTAAGGAGTGAGCACAACGGCTCAGTTTAAGATGCCTAAAACGCACTCCTTAATGCCTCCGTGAATCCAAACAAAAAATAGCGATAAGAAAAAGGGTCATGCTTGTTCGGGAAGTAATAATCATCACATAATACAATCTCGTAAACGCAACGGAATGCAATGTTAATGAGGTGCCAATGTCTCTCCCCATTATCCAAAGTTCTATCGAACATTTTCCTTAAATTTCAGATTTTGCTTTCATTTTGTAATACCCCTGGTTTTGAAAGGGATATAATCGAAATTTTATTATTTATTTTATTGTTTTCAGTATTTATTTTATTATTTTTAGGTGCTTATGTGGCTACGTGTGAAATTTGAATTACGTGATGTGTGAATTGACCGGTTGGTTTAATTTGATTATATGTTTAATTTGTATTTAATTGGCTTACTTGTTTATTTGTTTTATTTTGATCTCACTGTTTTGTTTTATTTTAATCTCACTGTTGTAAGGAATTGTTTAATTAGGTAATTAAGTTAAATGAGATTTTTAAAATACGTTCACTACTTAGGGTTTTGAGGAGTCACGTATGTTGGCAGACGTAGATTTTAAATAGGGTTTTCTATAGGCCAACTAGGATTTAGTGTAGGGTTTGAATTGAACCTAGGTCTTGTGTAAACCTATAAATATAGGTATGAAGTTCTGCCTAGGGTTTTAGAACCCTATTCACGACAGTGGAGGCAGAGAAGGAACAGAGGAGGATTTCCTAGTTCACCGGAGAAACTTAGGAAAACGACGCTGAGGTTTTTAACTGAAAACTCACAGACAAGTTCTAATCCTAACTCTATCTCGTTGACTTGTGTTCTTTGCATGTCTAATTCAACTCCATGATTAAATAAGAATCAAACTTAAACTGGATTACACGTCTCTGTTATTTTCCACTGAAGGTAGCCATGAGTTATACTGCTTGTTTTATGGTTTTTCGTATTTCAACACATAAAATAATTTACGTAACGGGATGTATAATGCATATGAATTGATATACAAGGAATTAAATTAGCTTGTAACACTGGAAAGTATTAATTTTAAACTGGTTTGCATGTTTAGGATCGTTTGCAACTGTATATATTTTTCATGTTTCGTATTGGCTTGTTTTACTTCTTTCTTGAATTTTTCTGTTCTAATTAGAATGGATTTAAGATTAAAGGTTTTAAAATATCTGGGGCATTGGAACTTAATTTTTAATCAGTAGAAATCATTAAAGTTAAGGACTGATCAAACAAGACGTCACCGGAGAAGACATAGTTGAAGAGATGAAGTAGAGAGGAGGGGAGAAGGTTGGAGGCGGCTACAAAATGTTTTGGAGCTGGCTCAAAGTGACTTGGAGGTGGCTCTAAGTGGTTTGGAGCCGGCTCCATCTAGGTTGGAGGCGGCTCCAACTTGTTTGGAGCAGCCTCTCTTCAGTTCTTCAGTTTTCTGAGTTTTTGGGCGACTATTTGGGCTGTGGTGCTCGGATTTTGGGATTTTTAAATTCTGGCAGGAGCTATATTGAGGTGTTTTGAGATGATTTAAGTTCATATTATAACTTCAAGAGTTGATTACTATGTATTAAAACACCATTGTTCAGGGTGATACAAAATATAAGTCGGTATATGAAAATCCAGATACTGTCATTGGAGATAAAGAGTTTAATCGCTTAAAAACTAATTTAGCAGATTACTATAGATGGTTACAATATGTTAATCATGGAACAGTGGTAGGAACAAGTGTGCTTAAGCTTTAATTACTGTTAGCTACGGATTAACTGACGTATAGAATTTAACTTGTTTCAGTTAGTGTTGGTTTGGTATAAAAGGAAGCATGTGAATTGGTATATTTTGTTGTGCTATTTTGGAATTAAATTGATGTTTATATGTATGACATGTATGGTCAATTACTGGAACTTGGTTACTCTGTTATGCTTAATGGGAACCTAATTGCTAAATATACAGTATTGTGTCTTATAAACTTACTGAATATCTTAGAATGGTTTAAAGTGAGCATGTTAATTCTGATAATATTATTATTATGCTCATAGTGAATTGCAGATTGGATTATACCTGTTCTCTGTGTTTTTGATCTTTTTGGAGAATCATGTATTGGTAGAACGGAACAAACATGTTATACACATATACTGGTTATACATGTGATGGACTCTTGTTATTTTTGTTATGGATTAGTTGGTATTTACATATATATATATATTTGTATTATCATCTACTGGGTGGATGGATTGTATGCACCGGTATGGGACAGTGGCATACTAAGGATGGATTAGTAAAACACTAAATCCTACATATTTCGGAATAAGTTGGATTAACTATAAAAATTTAGGTCCTACTTATATGGATGTCTATGCACCGGTATGGGACGGTGGCATACTAGGGACGGCTCAGTTCATAACACTGAGACCTACCTATATTGGGGATGGATTAATTCACACACTAAGTTCTACCTATATTGAAATAAGATGGATTAACTACAAAAGTTAAGTCGTACTTATAACTAGGTGTCAGGTCAACAAACTTTTTGAATGACACATTTGGAACGGACTTTATATATTTATGTTATGGTACCGCGATATGAGCTTGAGTCTCAGAGTCGACGGTTAGGAAGCGTATATGCATCAGGATGCATAACTGGCTATGATGGTTAGATGTGTACCCTGCTAGGTCTAGGTAGTCATGCCCACTTCAGGTGCGTTTTGCATGGTGCCTACTAGTCAGGTTGAGACGGGCCTGTAGTCCAGTGAGAGTCCTGTAGTGTGAATATATATATATATATATATATATATATATATATATATATATATCTACGGACTATTTAGTTATTGTTGAGTTGGTTAGAATGTATATGCGTATCGAGTCTCTGTTTGGATTGTAGTAGGTTAGAACTTGTTCGTGGGCCTGACCCACCTCTATTTTTCAGGTACTCGTCAGTTCTAGACTTAGACTTGATCGTGCTGAGCAGAGACTACTACTCACTCTTCCGACGACGTAGGACTTTTCTCCATGGTTTACTCTGGATGTTCTTTAAGTAGCTTTCATTTCAGTTTGGATTATTATTAGGGGTCCATTAGAGATGGATTCCCGAGTTGTTTTAGAATTAGAGAAGTTGGATGTATCAGACTAATTATTTATTTATAAAATTTTATTCTGAGGTTTTTTCTATAAAGGATTTTCATTTTAGTTTCTTTTCAGTAAATTTGTATTCATTCCTTCTATCTTAATTGTATTCTGTGTTCGTTAATTGCTAATTGGATTAATATCCTCGGGTAATCGAGCGTGAGCCTGGCCAACCTGCATCCGGAAATCCGGGGGTATCACACATTTCAAAAACACAATCTTCTCTTTTTTAAAAATATGTTATGCCCCATGTAGTACCCAATGTAATGCATGAACGACACACTTCATGGTCTCATAATGTCATAGCATTCCACATCAAAATTTCAGTTCTATACACCATGTTTTAATAACAAGTCAACATGGCAGTTTTTTTTTTAAAACATAACAACTCAATCATTCATGCAGCAAATCAGCAGCATCACCAAGGTACTTTAAACATATAAAAATAATATTGATTTCAACATTAGTGTCACTTTACACAATACAATTGAGCATGCAATTTTCAATTTCGAACTCATCAAATAACACCAACATTGAGGAAGCTTGAATTTCAGTTTCTAACTACACAATACGCACCATAAAAGAAGTTAAAAATTTCAGTTTTTGTGTAAAAACAACAACAACAACAATCCTTACAACAAAATAGTCCCACATGTGAGGTAAGTTTAACATAAAATTTTCAACTTGTAAGTTACAACAACCCAACCATTATAATTACTAAACTTTCAGTTTTATACACATCAACACATTCAACAATTTAAGGAACTCAGCTTCAATTTTTAAAGCACACAATGCATCATTAATATAGAAGCTAAAATTTTCAACATTTCAATTACACAACATACTTGTAAAGAAAATTTAATTCTAGTCATGCAATGCATGAGTATTACATGCTATTCAATGTTATGTTACATGCTAATTTCAGCCTCAAGTATCACAACCATAATTCTAGCTTTAGGAACAAACTATGAAGACAGTTTTTAATTCACAACAACTCCACCAAGCTTGCAACAAAACTATCCAATATTTGAAGCAAATTAAACATGGAATTTCAGCTTGTAAGCAACAACAACATAACCATTGAAATTACTAAATTTTCAGTTTAATGCATATAACATGACCAACATTTAGAAGAGCTCAATTTCAGTACTTATAACACATAACACATCATTGTTATATAAACTACAAAATTTCAGATTTAATTCACATATACATGCTTGTAAAAAATTTCAATCCTAGACATATATTAGTTCGAAACTTAAGAGATTAATTCACAAGAGGTAAAGGAATTGGGGTTTAGGATAACTCCTATCTCAACCAAGCAAGATCTTCAAAACAGCCCCCAAACCTATGCAAGATTGATATCAAATGGAAGCCCTCTCCAAGTGGATCAACTCTCTCCTTTTGATTATCAGCAAAAACATAACTTAAATCTTCCAAAAATGGCTTGGAAGCATCATGCAATATAGATATATATAAATATAGAAAGAAAAAAATAAAAATAATGAGAGAGATAGGAAGTCTCGGCCGAATTGAAGAGGAGGAGAATTGGGTTGATTTTTCATGAATTTAATTCCATGGTCCTAAGAATGCCACTTGTCAAAATGTGTGTGAATTATACTTTATGGTTAGTTACTCTTTTGTCTATCTATAACCATTGAAACTTCATCTATGTCCCAATAAATAGGAAAATTTGGAAGCATTACACTAATATTTTGTAAATGTAATATTAACTATCTCGTGAACTTTAATTTAATTAGTATAATGTTGTAAGGTATGGACTATTAAATTTTAGCTACATTTTATGGACTTTAACTTGATATAACTAAGGTGTACTCCTTTTTTTGGATGAGATGGAGGAAGGGGACATTTCATATGTATGTAACCATCTTGGAAATGTGACATAATATCTGTATTGTGCGTTGGGACATGATAGGTTATTTTTAAGGCCCAGTGAGGCCATTGCATCTTTTTTTTTTGTATTTCAACAGGTTGTAGAGGGACTTTTCTGCGAAGGTTATGCCGAAATTTTATATTTTTATTATTATTATTTTGGTATCTTTTTGGGTCGTTATAATGTAAATGCATCTATTTTGGTATTTTCATGTATATAGACATATATTGGCATTTCATTTATTCATTGTAGTGTTTGCGGACAGGTTTTGAGCTATTACATGACCACAATTGGGTCCAAAGGGTTAAATTAGCATTTTGTGCCAAAACAAGGTGATTTTAGGCATTTTGGGACAATTAAGATCGATCCTAATTAATTAAGATCAACATCAGACTTCAAACGGTTATAACTTGCTCATTTTAAATCCATATGGGGTCAAATTTGTGTCCAAACTGACTGTCTGGAAGTCATCTTTCCATTGCTATCAATCTCATTTCCAATTTCCAAACACACATATAGTTATACCCATTTTAGTGAGGCATGGTCATGAAAACTCCTACACCGGGATTACCCAATTGTGGGAAATCCTTATTTTAGCCTCTAGAACCCTATGCAACTTCATGATAAAAAGGACTTGAATAAACCGCATTGAACTTCTGAAGAGAAAAATTACCTTTCTTCCTTATCATGAAAAGATTGTTTCACCCCTAGTATGTCATCGGGTTCAGGTAAGGATCCGGTTGAGTTGCACCAACCGGTAGCGATCCGGATCCACCGGATTTAAGTTGTTACAAGACACGAACTTTTTGACTCTCCAGTCTCCACCCTTCTTTACCGAGTCATAGCCCGTATGCACAAGCCGGCCACCCATCAATAGTCATATCTGTAACGACTCAAAACTAATACTTTTTAAACAAAAAAAAAAAAAATTCGGCATGACCTCCCCTTAAAATAGGCCTATCACAACCTGTTTAATTGCATTTTTAACCTGTCATGGCTCAAATTCCGAATTCACGGCAACAAAAGATAATGATACAACCAACTAATCTAGACAATGCTTCAAACTAGGATTATCCATCCATTCATCAACAAGTTGCATACTATCAAATCCCCATCCAAAACATCATCAATACTTTAGTTATATTACATGACAAAGTTCCACAAAATAATTATACATCTTTGCACTTCTAGTGTTTTACAAAATAATGGGGAATATACAAAGATACAAAAGTGGACTTCTAACGCCGTTCAAGCTTGAGGTGGGTTGTCATCCACCAGTTCCTTTCCAAGACCTGAAAAAAAAATATATAGATATAGGGGTGAGCATATAGCTCAGCAGGTGACACTTAAGACACAATTCTTGTGTCCTAGTGAATCCAAATAAAGCATAGGCCAATGGGAGATTGGGGACATGCATTGAAGGGGAAAAATAATTACAAGTACAAGTCAAATTCAATCACACACAAATGCAAATGGAGTGAGATGCAATGCATGTTAAAGTCACTCCCCGTTTTCATTCTCAAAACCATCACGTTCAAAGTTAATGTAACCCCTTTTGGTAACCCCGCCGCGACGAGAGGAGGATTGGCTACAGTCCCTAGGCCCTTGGTGGCCCCATGGCGCTGTCGAGGGACCCAAATAGCTCAACCACGCTAGGGTACTCTCCCTAGTCTTCCCTAGGCTACATTAACCTCCGGCCCGTTGGTAACCCCGCAGCGACCGGGTTTATCAAAACCAAATTTTTTTTTTTTCAAAACATTCATTCCCAAATCCCCATTTTCATTTCAAGACAACCACTTCCCTTTTTCATGCAACCCAATGAAATGTAGGCTCATGTCATGATCTCAATATAATGACAAATGGGAACTTAGCACAATAATAAATAAGCATGTTCTCATGCATCATTATAGCATGTCAGTAACCTCAAAAAAAAAAAAAAAAATGTAAACAACCATCACATAGACATACTTTTCATTCAACCATGTTATACACATTTACATAACTAGTATGTTGTCAATTAAATCATTTTAATCAAAATCAACAACAATTAAACATGCTATAACACACATAGAGGAGCATGATTCATTATAGAGCAAGATTCCATGGCTTAAAATGTCCCTACCTCACAATCCAAGCCGAAATCCCTAGAATAGGTCCTCCAAATTCGAGCTCCAAGGAAGACTCAAATCTGGAAATTGATAGTATGGATGCGTAGAGCTCGCTACAAGCTTCGTTTCGCCTCAAACGGTTCCTAAATCCGATGAAAGATGATTGAGTAATCAAACCTCAAAGTTTTTTGTCTACAAAATGAAAGAAAAAGAGAAGGAACCGAGAGGGAGAGAGAGCATACGGGAAAGAGAAAGAAAATGAGAAAGAAAAGAAGATTTCTTGGCCAAATAAGTTAGTGGTGGGCCCCACTTGAAATTATTTTTCTTTTCTCTTTATTTTTTTTTGTCTCTAATTACACCACAAATACACAATTGCACCGCACAAATGCTATATCACCACATAAATTAAAATGTAGGAAATGTAACTGGACCCAACCACAAACCCGGATGGTAAAGTGAAAAGACAAAAATGCCCTTGCATTAACGAATTTTCAGAAAATTCTAAAATGCTGAAAATTAGAATTATCACAATCTCCCCAACTTATAAGGATTTCGTCCCCGAAATCAAGACATACCTGAGGAAGGAAACAACGCTGGGTACTTGGATCGAACCTCCTGTTCGAGCTCCCAAGTAGCCTCCTCGACTCCGTGGTGTCTCCAAAGGACTTTCACCATTGGTATCGTCTTGTTCGTCAATACCTTCTGCTGAGTGTCAAGGATCTGAACTGGTCCTTCCTCGTAGGAAACATCCTCATCAATATCCACATCAACCCAACTCAAAATGTGAGACGGATCTGGCTCGTACTTTCGTAACATCGATACATGAAAGACATTGTGAACTCTGTCCATCTGTGGTGGTAAACCAAGTCTGTAGGCAACCTCTCCTACCCGATCCAAAATCTCGAATGGTCCAATAAATCGTGGCGATAACTTGCCACTCTTCCTAAATCTCATCAACCCCTTCCGTGGAGAAACCCGTAGAAAAACGTGGTCTCCCACCTCAAAGGATAACGGTCATCTCCGTTTTTCCGCATAGCTCTTCTGTCGGCTCTGAGCTGTAAGTAACCTCTGTCTTATCAACTTAATCTTCTCAGTAGTCTCGAGTACAATGTCGGGTCCTAAGGTGGCTGTCTCGCCTACCTCAGTCCAACAAACAGGAGACCTACAAGGTCTACCATACAACGCCTCAAATGGAGCCATCTGGATGCTCGCCTGATAACTGTTGTTGTAGGCAAATTCAATAAGTGGAAGGTGATCCTCCCAACTACCTCCCAAATCAAGTACACATGCCCGAAGCAGATCCTCCAAAATCTAGATAACACGCTCTGACCGACCGTCTGTCTGTGGATGGAATGCCGTACTAAGATGCAACGCTAAACCAAACGCTGCTTGAAGTCCTTCCCAGAACTTCGAAGTGAACTTAGCATCCCTATCTGACACAATGGTTACAGGGACTCCATGTAACCTTACAATCTCTTTCACATAAAATACACCAAGCTTCTCTGCATCGTCTGTTGCCTTAATAGGCAAAAAGTGAGCCGTCTTGGTCAATCTGTCAATGATGACCCATACGGACTCTATGCCCCTTCGTGACCTTGGAAAACCTGTCACAAAATCCATAGCGATATGCTCCCATTTCCATTGCGCTACAAGTAATGGTTGCAACAAACCTGCTGGCCTCTGATGCTCGGCCTTCACCTGCTGACAGGTAAGGCATCTAGCCATAAACTGTGCAACATCATTCTTCATCCCGCTCCACCAATACTGACGTCTCAAATTGTGATACATTTTAGTACCACCTGGATGAACTGCAAAACAGGAAGTGTGAAACTCCCGTAAGACATCCTCACGACATACTGTGGGAACCACCAACAAACCCCTGAACCGTAGACCCCCATTTGCATGCAAGGCCCAATCTCTCACTGTCTCACCACTAGAGATCAAAGCGTGGATCGCATCTAAGTCCAGGTCCTGTCTCTGTGCCTCAATCACTCGTACAACAAGAGTAGGCTGAGCCACAAGACTAAATAAGAATGTCGACTCACTGTAACCATCATCATCAAAACACTGTAATCCCATCTCTGCCAGATCTTCAAGCATCTTCCACTTCCGAATAGCTAAACTGGCCAAAGTTCCATGAGATTTTCGGCTTAAGGCATCAGCTACAACATTTGCCTTGCCCGGATGATACTGCAAATCAAAGTTGTAATCTTCCAAGTACTCAACCCATCCTCTCTGTCTGTTGTTCAAGTCCTTTTGGGAAAAAAGGTACTTGAGACTTTTGTGATCTGAAAATACCTCGAATCTCTCACCATACAAGTAATGTCTCCAACACTTCAAGGCAAATACAACTGCCGCTAACTCCAGGTCATGAGTAAGGTAGTTGTACTCGTGAGTCTTCAACTGTCGAGACCCATAAGCCACTACTCTACCATCCTGCATCAACACACATCCCAACTAGTCACGTGAAGCATCACAATAGATCACATAACCCAAGCCACGCTCAGGTATCACCAACACTGGCACTGTAGTCAATCTCGTCTTCAACTCCTGAAAAGATGAATCACAGGCCTCATTCCAGACAAACTTGACCCCTTTCCAGGTCAAACGGGTCATAGGAGCTGCCAAACGGGAGAAATCCTTCACAAATCTCCGATAGTAACCCGCTAAACCAAGAAAACTGCGGATCTCAAACACATTCTTGGGTCGCTCCCAAGTCAAAACTGCTTCAACCTTTGATGGATCAACTGATACTCCACCTTCTGAAACAACATGCCCCAAAAACTTCACCTCCTGTAGCCAAAACTCACATTTCTCGTATTTGGCATACAACTGGTGCTCCCGCCTAATCTGTAAAACAATACTCAAATGGACCTCGTGATCTTCCCGAGTCCGTGAGTACACAAGAATGTCATCCACGAAAACTACCACAAACTGGTCCAAGTAATCGTGAAAGACGCGGTTCATCAAGTCCATGAATGCCGCTGACGCATTAGTCAAGCCAAAAGGCATAACAAGGAACTCATAGTGTCCATACCGTGTACGGAATGCTGTCTTCGGGATATCCTCATCCCTAACCCACAACTGATAATAGCCAGACCTTAAGTCAATCTTGGAGAAACAACTGGCTCCCCTCAACTAATCAAATAAATCATCTATCCTTGGCAAAGGATACTTGTTCTTGATGGTGGCATGATTCAACTTCCAGTAATCAATGCACAACCTCAAAGATCCATCTTTCTTCTTAGCAAATAAGACCGGTGCGCCCCACGGTGACACACTCGGTCGGACGAAACCTTTCATCCTCAAATCATCAAGTTGCCTCTTCAATTCTTCCAATTCAACTGGGGCCATTCGATATAGTGCCATAGAAATCGGCGCGGTACCTGGCATCAAATCAATAGAGAACTCTACTCCTCGGTGTGGAGGCAACTCTGTCAAATCCTCCGGAAACACGTCCAGAAAATCACAAACAACCGCAGGATAATCCTCCTTCCCAACATCATCTTCTTCGGCTATAAGGCTAGCCAAGAAGTAATCACCATGACTTCATCCACGAATTCCATAAAACGATGAAATGTGGGAATCACTCCGATCTCCCACGAAAAAGAAACAGTCTCCCTCAGAAGTGCAAACTGTAACCCTTCCTCTGTAACAGTTGATCGTGGCATGAAATGAAGCTAACCAATCCATCCCGAGAATGACATCAAAGCTAGTCATCTCCAGGAGGATAAGGTCAAACACGAAAGTCTGCCCGACTATCACAATGGGACACTCCCGCACAATTCGGCTCAAAGACACTGAAACCCCAACTGGCGTATCAACACTCAACGCCCGTTCCAAGAAACTAACTTCCAACCCCGATGCAAGTGCAAATGATAATGAAATGAAGGAATGAGATGCACCAGAGTCAAACAAAACACGGGCCCAACAACCAAACACTGGAAATATACCTCAAAGAACTGACGGTCCAGAAGATGCATCGGTCTGTGCCAGTGCAAAAACATGTCCTTGTGGTACCTGTGCCTGAGGACTGCCAACCTGAACACCTGACTGCTGCACTGACATAGTAAGAGTATCCCTCCTAACTGACCGTGAACCCTGTGAAGACATGGCAGGCTATGGTGGTGGCGGTCTGAAACCTGACTGAACTGTAGCCGACTGAGACGGCCTCTGTCGTGACCCCCTGCCACTACCTGTGCCTGTTCCCTGGCCTGGACAATCACGAATCAAGTGACCCTACTGGCCACACCCATAACAAGCCTTCGGAGCTGACGAAACTGAAGACGATCTCATCGGACAACTGGACTTGCAATGCCCAAGTTGCTGACACTGATAACAAACAACTGCACTCCTGTCAGATCCAGCTGGCATAGGAGTGGTAGGAGCAGATCTTGTAGACTGTTGTCCCTGAAAATGAGATGAACCACCCTTGTTCTTCTTCCAAGAAGATCCCTCTGAAGATAGCCCTGCACCCCTCTTTTGCTTCCATTGTTCTCTTCTTGCATCTTTCTCTTTATTATCAACCTCCAACATCAAAGCCCTTTCCACTGCTTCAGAATAAACCTTAATGAACTGTGCCATGATCAACGGCTTCATCCGATCATTAAGACCGGAAACAAACTTCCGAGTCTTATTAGCTTCATCTCTCACCACTTCTGGAGCAAAACAGGAGAGTGAGGTGAACTTGTTCTCATACTCCGCCACTGACATGTTCCCTTAAATAAGATTATGAAACTGGTCTTGTAACTCCCATCTTTTGGAAAGCGGAAAATACTTCTCATAAAACAGCTCCTTGAACCTATCCCAACTCATCTTTTCAATCTTGTACTGGTTGGTGATCGACTTCCACCAAACCTTGGCATCCATAGCAAACTTGTAAGTTACTAGGATGATCTTCAAGTGATCCTCTGTCACATCCATTGAGGTTAGTTGGGTTTCAACTTGATCCAAGTAGTCATCTGCTACCATTGGATCCGCACTGCCCTCAAACACTACTGGCATCAACTGAGAAAACCCTTTTATGATCTTGAGACGCTTCTGAGCTGGCGTCTTCTCAACTTGAACTGTAGGTTGTGGTGCCGACTGCGACTGAGCATCAATCGTTGCCCTCACGATATTTTGCAACAAACGATTAAACTCCAGTGCCACAGAACCTTCACCCACTTCTACGGGTACGGGTGTTTCAACATTCTCTCTTCTTGGGGGAACAGCTCTTGGGGGAATCAAGTCCCTAAGAAGCATGTTCTCATCATTTAGCTCCTCCGGATTGGAGCTGGAGCTCTCACCAACATCCCCCCTTGTTGGCCTAGGGCCAACTTCTCTAGGTTCCTCACGCCGTGACATCGAGCTATAAAACGAGAAAACGATTCAGAAACATGACACTAAGACTGTGGACGACTCAACAAGAATTGATATCGTACAACACTTAGCATGCAAGACTATGCAAGAAACATTTTAACATAAACAAGTAAGCAGTAAGCACATAGGCAGTTAAGCATGCTCATTTAAGTAAAATATCACGTAGCAAGTAGTCAAGTAAGCAACACAAACAACATTCCATGTGACCCTAAGTAGGCCTCTACCCGTCGTCCTAAAGGTTTTCGAACCTTTGCTCTGATACCAAATTTGTAACGACTCAAAACTAATACTTTTTAAACAAAAAAAAAAAATTCGGCATGACCTCCCCTAAAAATAGGCCTATCACAACCTGTTTAATTGCATTTTTAACCTATCATGGCTCAAATTCTGAATTCACGGCAACAAAAGATAATGATACAACTAACTAATCTAGACAATGCTTCAAATTAGGATTATCCATCCATTCATCAACAAGTTGCATACTATCAAATCCCCATCCAAAACATCATCAATACTTTAGTTATATTACATGACAAAGTTCCACAAAATAATTATATATCTTTGCACTTCTAGTGTTTTACAAAATAATGGGGAATATACAAAGATACAAAAGTGGACTTCTAACGCCGTTCAAGCTTGAGGTGGGTTGTCATCCACCAGTTCCTTTCCAAGACCTGAAAAAAATATATATAGATATAGGGGTGAGCATATAGCTCAGCAGGTGACACTAAAGACACAATTCTTGTGTCCTAGTGAATCCAAATAAAGCATAGGCCAATGGGAGATTGGGGACATGCATTGAAGGGGAAAAATAATTACAAGTACAAGTCAAATTCAATCACACACAAATGCAAATGGAGTGAGATACAATGCATGTTAAAGTCACTCCCCGTTTTCATTCTCAAAACCATCACGTTCAAAGTTAATGTAACCCCCTTTGGTAACCCCGCCGCGACGAGAGGAGGATTGGCTACCGTCCCTAGGCCCTTGGTGACCCCGTGGCGCCGTCGAGGGGCCCGAATAGCTCAACCACGCTAGGGTACTCTCCCTAGTCCTCCCTAGGCTACATTAACCTCCGGCCCGTTGGTAACCCCGCAGCGACCGGGTTTGTCAAAACCAATTTTTTCTTTTTTTCAAAACATTCATTCCCAAATCCCCATTTTCATTTCAAGACAACCACTTCCCTTTTTCATGCAACCCAATGAGATGTAGGCTTATGTCATGATCTCAATATAATGACAAATGGAAACTTAGCACAATAATAAATAAGCATGTTCTCATGGCATCATTATAGCATGTTAGTAACCTCAAAAAAAAAAAAAAAAAAAAATGTAAACAACCATCACATAGACATACTTTTCATTCAACCATGTTATACACATTTACATAACTAGCATGTTGTCAATTAAATCATTTTAATCAAAATCAACAACAATTAAACATGCTATAACACACATAGAGGAGCATGATTCATTATAGAGCAAGATTCCATGGCTTAAAATGTCCCTACCTCACAATCCAAGCCGAAATCCCTAGAATAGGTCCTCCAAATTCGAGCTCCAAGGAAGACTCAAATCTGAAAATTGATAGTATGGATGCGTAGAGCTCGCTACAAGCTTCGTTTCGCCTCAAACGGTTCCTAAATCCGATGAAAGATGATTGAGTGATCAAACCTCAAAGTTTTTTGTCTACAAAATGAAAGAAAAAGAGAAGGAACCGAGAGGGAGAGAGAGCATACGGGAAAGAGAAAGAAAATGAGAAAGAAAAGAAGATTTCTTGGCCAAATAAGTTAGTGGTGGGCCCCACTTGAAATTATTTTTCTTTTCTCTTTATTTTTTTTTTTTGTCTCTAATTACACCACAAATACACAATTGCACCGTACAAATGCTACATCACCACATAAATTAAAATGTAGGAAATGTAACTGGACCCAACCACAAACCCGGATGGTAAAGTGAAAAGACGAAAATGCCCTTGCATTAACGAATTTTTAGAAAATTCTAAAATGCTGAAAATTAGAATTATCACAATATCAACCCGAACAGCTGTACCATCACAGCCCTCCATTTCTTAGAAGCCAAAACATGACGTGCAACTCGCAAGTTATGATTGAAGTCTGCATATAATCTAACATATGAGAAAGGAGGAGGGGGGGGGGGGCGCAAGCCAAGCAGACAACTTTGCTTGCTTGTCAGCTACACATTTGCAGCTAAAAAGACAGCATTTGCACATATTATAAAGAAAGCCTACATTAGTAAAACGCAAACTAAAGTGTTAACAATACATAAAGAAGCCAACTGTTGTAAACACGAGCAAATTGAAATGCCAGATCTTCTTAGCAACTATGGATTACCCATTAGTGACTACAGGCACCTTCTCACACAATAAAAATTCTCTGAATCTCCGAGGAAGGATACAATGACCCCCAAATTGCTGCTGCAAGAAGATAATCAACGCAAAGATTATACCCCCACAAGGGATGATCACATCCCAGGCAGTGGAGTAGAAATCTGAAGTAGGATTCGCGTAAATGTATGACCCATTGAAATGCTGGGGAACAAAGTTGCGAGCCCTGAAAAGATCATACGTATGTGGTTGCAATCGAATATAGGTAGTGCCAATGTAAAATGAACGAGAGAGAGCATTTTCTCTTGACATCTGGAATACATTGAGAAGGATTTGAGGGAATAGAAAACCATCAATGACCAAACCAGCATAAGATCTCAAATTCCCCCAGAGGGTATGTTGTTGGAAAGAAACAGAATGAGAAGACAATGCTGTCTTTCCATTTTTGTTTTTCATCCAATTCATAAACAATGCTACAAGTGCCCCTGAAATGTAGAATGCTATTGTCACAAAAATTGCCTTCATTTCAGCAACCCACAGGCCCTTTTGGTTCCCATCACCTGACCGCGCAGACCATGCCAGTTGGAGAAGTCGGAATTGCAGCAAGAAAGCCACCATTGTAATTGCCCCAACGATCACCTCCTTCAATTCAAGCCATCCACCACTTCCAAGCAATACAGTTTGCTGATTGTTATTTTCCAGGAAAAGGGCTCCAATGTTCAGCAAAAGAGGAATCATGTGCCCCAAAGTAAGGATCACAAGCATGACCAATGAAATGAAAGGAAGCACATTACGGTGCTTTTTGACATAAAAGAGTTGCAATGCCGCAAAGATACATGCTAGTGTGTTATAGATTAAAGCCATTGTGATCTCCAAATCCATCCTCCAGATAGATCGTTTAGCTTCTACGTGATAGAAAGATGTTGAAGAGAGGTTCAAATGCTCAAAGAAAAGAGGATCTGAATCTTTCCTTGTGCTTTCAATTCTTCCCTTAATAAAATCTCCCATTGCACTTAGTGGAGAGAACTGAAATTTCAAAAGAATTTCACAGTCCATGGTTGATTCCTGAATGTATGAACACAACTTTTTGCAGCCCACCATACAGAGGTGTCCTGTTTCTTCATCGTAGATCCCCTCAGCAGAAATCTCCTGTAGACCATCAATACTCAGATTGGATATGTCACCAGCTAACGGACTAAACCTTTTGTTATAGCTGATATTTAATGGAATACTATGGTAAGCTTCTGTCTCAACATGCCCCCACTCATAAAACTGATCACCCACAGAGATGGGGGCAGCAGAACCCCGAAAACTTCTTCCTTTAGAATCTTTCACCGACATGTCGAACCTCATATCATAAGAATTTCCACTTGGATATCTCAGGCCTTTGTTTTTAGAAGGCTTCTTTACTGGGCATAACTTTTTGACTCTGTCCATTTCAGTGTACTCGTACTTCAAACCAGCAGCACCCGACATTGCATAGGAAGAATCTCTGAACCTGATCCTATGGATGCACCCAGAATCATTTTTAGTTCTGTTACTCCAAATTTGCCCAACAAAACCTAATCTCTGCTTGATTGACCAGACTGCAGGGTATCTCAAACTCAGCCTAGTTGAACAATCCCCAACATGAGTATTTTCCAAAGAATCAGAGGGGTTCAAGATCCGGCAAGCAATTATGCACATCTGTTTCTTCTTTCCATCCAATGCTCCTTCTGCAACCAATCTTGTGCTGGGATTGAAAGGTTGGTCATACCCAACATAGCTACTGTTTGAAAAAATTACTAGATAGCGTAGCTTTGCCTTTTGTACATCCTCAGAACACTGAATTGCATACAAGGATATGAACGGATATGCAATACCATTACCAAAAGGAGTACAATTCTTTGAAGAAATGCACTCGCTGGCATACTCCAACTTGTAAGTTTTAACTGGCCTCAAGAGCATTGAACAAATACTTCTTGGTTGCAATCCAAGAGAGTGATTCGATGGAATATCAATTCCACCAGGACACCCAGTATCAAATTCCTCTGAAACCAATGTGTAGTTGTAGGAACTCATGTAAGGAAAAGCCAATATTGAAATTGGTTCAAAGTAATTCGAATCATGAGAAGAGCTCAAGCTCTCCAATGTTCCACTAACCAAACTAGTAAAGATAGTTGCATTCTTGGCATAATTAAGCTTAAGAACAGCATCAAGTTTAAAAGAGTTACCTTCTCTTGAGTACCAAGAAGCCGAGCCCAACATGCAAAGCTTCCCGGAAGATTCAGACCAGAACCCATTTAATAGGAATCTCAGTGACAGTGGGCGTCTCGGAGGAGGACGAAATTCATATAAGTTAGGACGAAATTCATGCATGTTAGATTGGTCATAAGTTGAATTCTGCAGAACATAGGAATAGGAAGATCTGAAGATCAAGTAGGCCTCAATCTTGTAAACACCAGTGGCTTCGGTTTTATGAACATTTTGGGTAGGAAGAAAGGAGAAATACTTGTCGTAGTCAAATACATGACACGATCTGTTGCCAAGAATATCGTCACCAACAGTGTAGCGACCTGACGGAATTCGGAGATATTGGAAGGTCGTGTGGTCGAGAACAGTTGGGGTTGACTCGGGAACAATTGAGCCGCAGTGATTGGTGTAAGAGGGTGGAGTTGTAGAAGAAGAGACTGAGGTTGTGGAGAGGACAGTGAAAGAAAGAGAAGCAATATAGAACTAAACCATGTGAGTTGATAACTCCTTTCTGAAGAGCTGATTGTCGAAGAAGAGTCCATTGCCATGATCATAGTTTTCTTCAAGGTATGAAGAGAAGAAGACTCGATTACCACATTGCATATGGTGTGTGATGCTTCTAAGTTCTACCTTATAGCAGTGATAATATATTTTATAGTGTTCAATCGGGTTAAAGATAGATAGATATATATGTGTGTGTGTGTGTGTATAGTATTGTGGGTACGCTGTATATGCACATGTATACAAGTATTTTCTTCATTAATTAACGGAACACTTCAAATATTTATCATTAATTATACAAAGTGAATATTTTTGGAGTTCAAAATTGAGATCCAATGCTTAACAGTCCAAAAGAATGACCTGGTATACACATACATACATGTATATAGGTATGAATGTAGATGCTTCAAGGTCTCACAGCATGAACCAGACTTGGACTAAGCCAAAACAAAGTCATCTGAACAAATTATTTTTTTATTTTTATTTTTTTGCGCACTCCAATTAAGAGAGCGAAGTTGCATTGTGGAGAAGACTTTGGAAACTTCGCGGCAGACCCATTGGCAACAAGAACAGAACAGAACAGTGGTGGTGGAGTTGTTATGCATGTGCACTACATTTTAGGTCAAATTGCACTGAACACTGTGATCTATCCAAATTTCTAAACAATAAAAAAATAATAATTAATAAATACCTATTGACCGCCTGAGGGTATATGGAGATGTGGCATGCACGTTGGTGTAGTCGGGAACAGTTGGGGTTGACTCGGGGATATTGAACCGCAGTGATCAGTGTAAGAGGGCGGAGTCTAGAAGAAGAGACCGAGAATGTGGAAAGTACAGCGAAGAGAAAGAGAAGAAAGAAAGAATTAAGTGTTAATTTCACTCACGCTTTTCAATTTTAGCCATTTTCACTTCCAAATATATTTTAAAAATAATCATCGTTTAGATTCATTTAAGTTAAAAACTCTGTTAAATGCATAGAAAAAGACAACTTTCACCATTAAATTTTTAATCTCATTTATTCTAAAATATCAAATTACTTAAATAACCATTATACCCTACACCCACCTACCACCACCATCCTCATCCACCATGGACGCTGCGACAGAGGCCTTGTGACTGAATCTGCCAAGCAATCGCCATGGCAACCTTACGAGTGCCTCAAGTGATGAAAACCTCAAGGACATCTTTCACCACATCAGAACTTCCAAAACCCTTGTAAGCAAACCCACTTATAAATTTCATTTCTCCTTTTCAATCCAACTTTGGATTACCAAAATTTGGGCACCTTCTTTTATTAAAATTTAAATTGGTTTTTTTTTTTCTTTTTTTCCCCTAATTCTTCTTTTGGGTGCTCATACTTGCTTCTGGAAATGTTTTTTTCCAGGCAGTGATCAACTATGGTGCATCTTGGTATGTCAACAGCCTCTTCAAATCTTTCTTTAATATTTTTTCCTTTTAGCTTCATTTTCATTTACATATTTCATGTGTGAACTCAGGGTGTTAGGTGTAAATGTAATGCTCAAAAGAAAATTGAGATAATGAGTAGTCTTTTAGGAGTCGAGTAAACTGCTAAAAGGACTGCTTTCGGTTCATAAAACTTTTGACACCTGAATCAGATTTATCATAACCTCAATTATCTTCTCTGCCGCCGCCCGTGTGTGTGTATATATATATACATGTAACGACTCAAAACTAATACTTTTTAAACAAAAAAAAAAATTCGGCATGACCTCTCCTAAAAATAGGCCTATCACAACCTGTTTAATTGCATTTTTAACATGTCATGGCTCAAATTCCGAATTCACGGCAATAGTAGATGCCGATACACAATCAAATGACCTCAATAATACTTCAAACTAGTATTGCTCTCCCCATTCATCAATAAGGCTTACATGTTATCAAATTCACATTCAAAATATCATCAAATACCTTAATTATATTACATGACAAAGTTTTTACAAAATATACATATACACCTTCACACTTTTAGTGCTTTGCAAAAATAATGGGAGATATACAAAAGACACAAAAGTGAGCTTCTAGTATCGCTCAAGCTTGAGGTGGGTTGTCGTCCACCGGTTCTTTTTCAAGACCTGAAAAAAATGTATAAATAATAGGGTGAGCTATATGCTCAGTAGGTGATACTTAAGACACAAATCTTGTGTCCTTGTGAATTCAAGCAAAGCATAGGCCAATGGGAGATAGGGATCATACAACGTAGGGGATCAAATACAACATACAATTCAATTCCAATTATAAACAATGCAATACAATGCAATGAAATGCAATGCATGTCAATGACACTCCCCATTTTCATTCTCAAAACCATCACTTTCAAACGTTAATACAGCCCGCCCTTTGGTAACCCCGCCGCGACACGAGATGAGGATTGGCTAGTGTCCCTAACCCTTGGTAACCCCGCGGCGTCATTATGGGGCCCAGCTAGCTCAACCACACTAGGGCAACTCCCTAGTCCCCTCTAGGCTATATTAACCTCCGGCCCGTTGGTAACCCCGCAGCGACCGAGTTTCGCATAAAATCATTTCATCAAAAACACTTTCCCGAAATTTCCCCTTTTTGAAGTAAATCAATTCTTTCCCTTTTCCTGCCCAATGTTAATGCATGAATACCTCAATGATATACACAAGTTCATCATTCCATACTTTATCCAATTTAAGCAACATGGCATAATTCGCAAGAATAATCAAGAAAGTCATAACATGCTTATACATAACAAGTTCTAGCACAATGAACATATATAATCAAGTCCTAAACATGCTTCACATAGAACAATCAACAAATATAGTCACACAACTAACATATATGCATACATATCAACAATTCTCTAGATTTTAAACAACTAATCAAATTAAACAACAATTAGAAGCAATTAACTCACTAAGGTACAAGATTTCATGAATTAAGGGCCTCTATCTCAAGATTTCACCAAAACCCTAGAAAATGGGTCTCAAGATTCGAAATCCAAAGGGGCACAAAATCTAAAATTACTTGTATGGATGTGTAGAGCTTGACACGAGCTTCGTTTTGCCTCAAACGGCACCTCAATCCGACAAAAGGTGAAGGAGTAATCTAATAATGAAGTTTGAGTTCAAAAAGAAAAAGAAAAATCAAGAAATAGAGACAGAAGGAAGGGCCAGCGGGAAAGAAGAAAAATGGAGACCAATTGTGGTCTCAAACCCTTTTTGGGTGTGGTGGTGGGTCCCACCAAAATTTTAATTTGTTCTCTTTTCTTTTTGTTTCAAAATATTCCACATATAAACAAAATGCACCACATACATATATAAGACACAAACATTACATTCTCCCCAACTTTAAAAGATTTCGTCCCCGAAATCAAGACATACCTGAAGAAGAAAACAACGCTGGATACTTGGACCGAACCTCCTGTTCAAGCTCCCAAGTAGCCTCCTCGACTCCGTGGTGTCTCCAAAGGACTTTCACCATTGGTATTGTCTTGTTCCTCAACACCTTCTGCTGTGTGTCAAGAATCTGAACTGGTCCTTCCTCGTAGGAAACATCCTCATCAATATCCACATCAACCCAACTCAAAATGTGAGATGGATTCGACTCGTACTTTCATAACATCGATACATGAAAGACATTGTGAACTCTATCCATCTGTGGTGGTAAAGCAAGTCTGTAGGCAACCTCTCCTACCCGATCCAAAATCTCGAATGGTCCAATAAATCGTGGCGATAACTTGCCACTCTTCCCAAATCTCATCAACCCCTTCCGTGAAGAAACCCGTAGAAAAACGTGGTCTCCCACCTCAAAGGATAACGGTCGTCTCCGCTTATCCGCATAGCTCTTCTGTCGGCTCTGAGCTGTAAGTAACCACTGTCTTATCAACTTAATCTTCTCAGTAGTCTCGAGTACAATGTCAGGTCCTAAGGCGACTGTCTCGCCTACCTCAGTCCAACAAACAGGAGACCTACAAGGTCTACCATACAACGCCTCAAATGGAGCCATCTGGATGCTCGTCTGATAACTGTTGTTGTAGGCAAACTCAATAAGTGGAAGGTGATCCTCCCAACTACCTCCCAAATCAAGTACACATGCCCGAAGCATATCCTCCAAAATCTGGATAGTACGCTCTGACTAACCGTCTGTCTGTGGATGGAATGTCGTACTAAGATGCAACGCTGAACCAAACGCTGCTTGAAGTCCTTCCCAGAACTTCGAAGTGAACTTAGCATCCCTATCTGAGACAATAGTTAATGGAACTCCATGCAACCTTACAATCTCCTTTACATAAAGAACACCAAGCTTTTTTGCATCATCTGTTGCCTTAATAGGCAAAAAGTGAGCCGTTTTGGTCAATCTGTCAATGATGACCCATACGGCCTCATTGCCCCTCCATGACCTTGGAAAACCTGTCACAAAATCCATAGCAATATGCTCCCATTTCCATTGCGCTACAGGTAATGGTTGCAACAAACCTGCTGGCCTCTGATGCTCGGCCTTCACCTGTTGACAGGTAAGGCATCTAGCTACAAACTGTGTAACATCATTCTTCATCCCGCTCCACCAATACTGACGTCTCAAATTGTGATACATTTTAGTACCACCTGGATGAACTGCAAAGCGGGAAGTGTGAAACTCCCGTAGGACGTCCTCACGACAACATGTGGGAATCACCAACAAACCCCTGAACCGTAGACCCCCATCTGCATGCAAGGCCCAATCTTTCACTGTCTCACCATTAGAGATCAAAGCGTGGATAGCATCTAAGTCCAGGTCCTATCTCTGTGACTTAATCACTCATACAATAAGAGTAGGCTAAGCCACAAGACTAAATAAGAATACCGACTCACTGCAAGCATCATCATCACAACACTGTAATCCCATCTCTGCCAGGTCTTCAAGCATCTTCCACTTCCAAATAGCTAAACTGGCCAAAGTTCCACAAGATTTCTGGCTTAAGGCATCCGCTACCACATTCGCCTTGCCCGGATGATACTGCAAGTCAAAATTGTAGTCCTCCAAGAATTCGACCCATCACCTCTGTCTGTTGTTCAAGTCCTTTTGGGAGAAAAAGTACTTGAGACTTTTGTGATCTGAAAATACCTCAAATCTCTCACCATACAAGTAATGTCTCCAACACTTCAAGGCAAATACAACTGCCGCTAACTCCAGGTCATGAGTAGGGTAGTTGTACTCGTGAGTCTTCAACTGTCGAGACCCATAAGCCACTACTCTACCATCCTGCATCAACACACATCCCAACCCGTCACGTGAAGCATCACAATAGATCACATAACCCAAGCCACGCTTAGGTATCACCAACACTGGAGCTGTAGTCAATCTCGTCTTCAACTCCTGAAAAGATGAATCATAGGCCTCATTTCAGACAAACTTGATCCCTTTCCGGGTCAAACGGGTCATAGGAGCTGCCAAACGGGAGAAATCCTTCACAAATCTCCAATAGTAACCCGCTAAACCAAGGAAACTGTGGATCTCAAACACATTCTTGGGTCGCTCCCAAGTCAAAACTGCTTCAACCTTTGATGGATCAACTGATACTCCACCTTCTGAAACAGCATACCCCAAAAACTTCACCTCCTGTAGCCAAAACTCACATTTCTCGTATTTGGCATACAATCGGTGCTCCCGCAAAATCTGTAAAACAATACTCAAATGGACCTCGTGATCTTCCCGAGTCCGTGAGTACACAAGAATGTCATCCACGAAAACTACCACAAACTGGTCCAAGTAATCGTGAAAGACGCGATTCATCAAGTCCATGAACGCCGCTGGCGCATTAGTCAAACCAAAAGGCATAACAAGGAACTCATAGTGTCCATACCGTGTACGGAATGCTGTCTTCGGGATATCCTCATCCCTAACCCGCAACTGATAATAGCCAGACCTCAAGTCAATCTTCGAGAAACAACTGGCTCCCCTCAACTGATCAAATAAATCATCTATCCTTGGCAAAGGATACTTGTTCTTGATGGTGGCATGATTCAACTTCCGATAATCAATGCACAACCTCAACGAACCATCTTTCTTCTTAACAAACAAGACCGGTGCGCCCCACGGTGACACACTCGGTCGGATGAAACCTTTTATTCTCAAATCATCAAGCTGCCTCTTTAATTCTTCCAATTCAACTGGTGCCATACGATACGGTGCCATAGAAATCGGCGCAGTACCATGCATCAAATCAATAGTGAACTCCACTTCTCGGTGTGGAGGCAACTCTGTCAAATCTTCTGGAAAAACATCCAAGAAGTCACAAACAATCGCCGGATAAACTTCTCCCACGACATCATCTTCTTCGGCTAGAAGACTAGCTAAGAAATAATCACTATGACTTCGTCCACGAACTCCATAAAACGATGAAATGTGGGAATCACTCCGATCTCCCATGAAAAAGAAACAGTCTCCCTCGGGAGTGCAAACTGTAACCCTTCCTCTGTAACAGTCGATCATGGCATGAAATGAAGCCAACCAATCCATCCCGAGAATGACATCAAAGCTAGTCATCTCCAGGAGGATAAGGTCAAACACAAAAGTCCCCCCGGCTATCACAATGGAGCAATCCCGCACAACTCGGCTCAATGACGCTGAAACCCCAACTGGCGTATCAACACATAATGCCCGATCCATGAAACTAACCTCTAACCCCGATGCAAGTGCAAATGATGATGAAATGAAAGAATGAGATGCACCAGAGTCAAACAAAACACGGGCCCAATAACCAAACACTGGAAATATACCTCGAAGAACTGACGGTCCAGAAGATGCATCGGTCTGTGCCAGTGCAAAAACAAGTCCCTGTGGTACCTGTGCCTGAGGACTGCCAACCTGAACACCTGATTGCTGCACTGACATAGTAGGAGTATCCCTCCTAACTGATCGTGAACCCTGTGAAGACATAGTAGGCTGTGGTGGTGGTGGTCTGAAACCTGACTGAACTGTAGCCGATTGTGACGGCCTGTGCTATGACCCTCTGCCACTAATGGTGCCTGCTCTCTGACTCGGACAATCACGAATCAAGTGACCTTGCTGGCCACACCCATAACAAGCCTTCGGAGCTGATGAAACTGAAGACGATCTCATCGGACAACTGGACTTGTAATGTCCGGGCTGCTAACACTGATAACAAACAACTGCACTCCTGTCAGGTCCAGCTGGCATAGGAGTGGTATGAGCAGATCTTGTAAACTGTTGCCCCTGAAACTGAGATGGACTGCCCCTATTCCTTTTCCAAGAAGATCCCTCTGAGGATGGCCCTACACCCCTCTTTTGCTTCAATTGCTTTCTTCTTGCATCCTTCTCTCTATTGTCATCCTCCAGTATCAAAGCCCTTTCCACTGCTTCAGAGTAAACCTTAATAAACTGTGCCATGATTAACGGCCTCATTCGATCATTAAGACCCGAGACAAACTTCCGAGTCTTGTTAGCTTCATCTCTCACCACTTCTGGAGCAAAACGGGAGAATGAGGTGAACTTGTTCTCATACTCCGCCACTGACATGTTCCCTTGAATAAGATTATGAAACTGGTCTTGTAACTCCCATCTTTTGGAAAGTGGAAAATACTTCTCATAAAACAGCTCCTTGAACCTGTCCCAACTCATCTCTTCAATCTTGTACTGGTTAGTGATCGACTTCCACCAAACCTTGGCATCCATAGCAAACTAGTAAGTTGTTAGGATGATCTTCAAGTGATCCTCTGTCACATCCATTGAGGTCAACTGAGTTTCAACTTGATCCATGTAGTTGTCGGCTACTATTGGATCTGCACCGCCCTCAAACATAACCGGCATCAGCTGAGAAAACCCTTTAATGATCTTGAGACGCTTCTGAGCTGGAGTCTCCTCAACTTGAACTGTAGGTTGTGGTGCCGACTGCGACTGAGCAGCAATCGTTGCCCTCACGACATTCTGCAACAAACGATTAAACTCCAGTGCCACAGAACCTTCACCCACTTCTACGGGTACGGGTGTTTCAACATTCTCTCTTCTTGGGGGAACAGCTCTTGGGGGAATCAAGTCCCTAAGAAGCATGTTCTCATCAACTGGCTCCGCCGGATTGGAGCTAGAGCTCTCACCAACATCGCCCCTTGTTGGCCTAGGGCCAACTTTTCTAGGTTCCTCACGCCGTGACATCGTGCTATAAAACGAGAAAACGATTCTGAAACATTACACTAAGGTCCACTGTGGACGACTCAACAAGAATTAATACCGTACAACACTTAGCATGTAAGACTATGCAAGAAACATTTTAACATAAACAAGTAAGCAAGTAAGCACATAGGCAGTTAAGCATGCTCATTTAAATAAGATACCACGTAGCAAGTAGTCAAGTAAGCAACACAAACAACATTCCATGCGACTCTATGTAGGCCTCTACCCGTCGTCCTAAAGGTTTTCGAACCTTTGCTCTGATACCAAATTTGTAACGACTCAAAACTAATACTTTTTAAACAAAAAAAAAATAGGCATGACCTCCCCTAAAAATAGGCCTATCACAACCTGTTTAATTGCATTTTTAACCTGTCATGGCTCAAATTCCGAATTCACGGCAATAGTAGATGACGATACACAATCAAATAACCTCAATAATACTTCAAACTAGTATTACTCTCCCCATTCATCAATAAGGTTTATATGTTATCAAATTTACATCCAAAATATCATCAAATACCTTAATTACATTACATGACAAAGTTTTTGCAAAATATACATATACACCTTCACACTTTTAGTGCTTTGCAAAAATAATGGGAGATATACAAAAGACACAAAAGTGAGCTTCTAGTATCGGTCAAGCTTGAGGTGGGTTGTCGTCCACCGGTTCTTTTCCAAGACCTGAAAAAAATATATAATTAGTAGGGTGAGCTATATGCTCAGTAGGTGACACTTAAGACACAAATCTTGTGTCCTTGTGAATTCAAGCAAAGCATAGGCCAATGGGAGATAGGGATTATACAACGTAGGGGATCAAATACAACATACAATTCAATTCCAATTATAAACAATGCAATGCAATGAAATGCAACGACACTTCCCATTTTCATTCTCAAAACCATCACTTTCAAACGTTAATACAGCCCGCCCTTTGGTAACCCCGCCGCGACACGAGAGGAGGATTGGCTAATGTCCCTGACCCTTGGTAACCCCGCGGCGTCATTATGGGGCCTAGCTAGGGCGACTCCCTAGTCCCCTCTAGGCTATATTAACCTCCGGCCCGTTGGTAACCCCGCAGCGACCGAGTTTCGCATAAAATCATTTCATCAAAAACACTTTCCCGAAATTTCCCCTTTTTGAAGTAAATCAATTCTTTCCCTTTTCCTGCCCAATGTTAATGCATGAATACCTCAATGATATACACAAGTTCATCATTCCATACTTTATCCAATTTAAGCAACATGGCATAATTCGCAAGAATAATCAAGAAAGTCATAACATGCTTATACATAACAAGTTCTAGCACAATGAACATATATAATCAAGTCCTAAACATGCTTCACATAGAACAATCAACAAATATAGTCACACAACTAACATATATGCATACATATCAACAATTCTCTAGATTTTAAACAACTAATCAAATTAAACAACAATTAGAAGCAATTAACTCACTAAGGTACAAGATTTCATGAATTAAGGGCCCCTACCTCAAGATTGCACCAAAACCCTAGAAAATGGGTCTCAAGATTCGAAATCCAAAGGGGCACAAAATCTAAAATTGCTTGTATGGATGTGTAGAGCTTGACACGAGCTTCGTTTTGCCTCAAACGGTACCTCAATCGGACAAAAGGTGAAGGAGTAATCTAAGAATGAAGTTTGAGTTCAAAAAGAAAAAGAAAAATCAAGAAATAGAGACAGAAGGAAGGGCCAGCGGGAGAGAAGAAAAATGGAGACCAATTGTGGTCTCAAACCCTTTTTGGGTGTGGTGGTGGGTCCCACCAAAATTTTAATTTGTTTTCTCTTTTCTTTTTGTTTCAAAATACTCCACATATAAACAAAATGCACCACATACATATATAAGACACAAATATTACAATACACGAAACTTTTAACGATATTTTAGTCTTTTAATATAATTTTTAGGTATAAATATTGTTTTGACAAAATTAAAGGGCATTTAAGTCATTTTACATCATGTTATAATGGTAAAACTAACCGTTAGGGTGTGAGTGAAAAACAGAACAAAAATTAAAAATGTTTGAAGGTGACTTTTGACCAAATTTGAGAAGTGTCAGTGAAATTAACCAAAGAATTAAAGCATTTGAATTCATACATGAAGTGATTCTTGAAGATGACTACTCCATTGCCACGAATGTAAATGTTAAAAGGTCACACAGCAATGCGCATGGCATGATCTGAACAATTTTTCCCTGCACTTTTGATACTTTGAATCGTAACCAACAATGTCAAGAGGACTCTGAAAGGGTGGACATAGCAAAAGGTAAGCGTGTTGTTAGTAAACAAAGTATAGGAAGATGTCTTTTATATTTCCCTTGCCTCCTGTTAGACGGCACAGGCTAGACTCGCTTGACTTGAGAACTCTCAACAGCAACTTTATTTCAAATTGATAAGAGTTAGAGTGAATTGTCCCTGAGCTCCTCTCGTGTATGGGAGATGGAGACAACTAATAAATAAGATGACTGGGAATAGTAAAAAAGGAGTATTTTTATTTTTTATTTACATTATCATAAATATAATTATTAATTTGGAGCTTAGAATTAGATGGGTGTGTTATTGTTAATCAAACTTCCCTAAATATAATTTGCAAGGGTTGGTGACAAATAATTTACAAGCGATAGTGAATTTTTGCAACTTCCTCTAATAACCATCTCCACGACCGCAGGCGCTTAAACCCATTCAACCCAATCAGACACGAACCTTTTGACTCTTCAGTCTCCACCCTTCTTTACCGAATCATAGCCTGTACGGCCGCCCACCCGTCAGCAGTCGGATAAACCCGAACAACTGTCAACAGTCGGATAAACCTGAACAGCTGCACCTTCACGGCCCTCCATTTCTAAGAAGCCAAAACATGACTTGCAACTAGCAAATATTCAAGTAAAAAAAAAAAAAAGAAACAGACAACATTTGCACGTATTATTAAGAGGGCCTACATTTGTAAAACGCAAACTAAAGTGCTAACAATACATAAAGAGGCCAACATGTAAACACTCAACAGCAAATTGAAATGCTAGATCCTCTTGGCAACTACGGATTACCCATCAGTGACTATAGGCACCTTCTCATACAATTCCAATTCCCTGAGTCTCCGAGGAAGGATACAACAACCCCCAAATCGCTGCTGCAAGAAGATGATCACCGCAAAGATTATACCCCCGCAAGGGATGATCACATCCCAAGCAGCGGAGTAGAAATCTGAAGTAGGATTCGCGTAAATGTACGACCCATTGAAATGCTGGGGAACAAAGTTGTGAGCCCTGTAAAGATCATATGCATGTGGTTGCAATCGAACAAAGGTAGTGCCAACGTAAAATGAACGAGAGAGAGCATTTTCTCTTGACGTCTGGAATACGTTGAGAAGGATTTGAGGGAATAGAAAACCATCAATGACCAAACCAGCATAAGATCTCAAATTCCCCCAGAGGCCATGTTGTTGGTAAGGAACAGAATGATTAGACAATGCTAGCTTGCCATTTTTGTTCTTCGTCCAATTCAGGAGCAATGCTATAAGTGCCCCTGAAATGTAGAATGCAATAGTCACAAAAAGTGCCTTCATTTCAGCAACCCACATGCCCTTTTGGTTCCCATCACCAGACCGTGCAGACCGTGCCAGTTGGAGAAGACGGAATTGCAGCAAGAAAGCCACCATTGTAATAACCCTCACGGTTACCTCATTCACTTCAAGCCATCCACCACTGCCAAGCAACACATTTTGCCGATTGTGATTTTCCAGGAAAAGGGCTTCAAAGTTGAGTAGAAGAGGAATCATGTACCCCAAAGTGAGGATCACAAGCATGACCAGTGAAATAAAAGGAAGTGCATTAGGGTGCTTTTTGACATAAAAGAGTTGCAACCCCGCAAAGACACATGCGAGTGTGTTGGAGATTAAAGCCATTGTGATCTCCAAATCCATCCTCCAGATGGATCGTTTAGCTTCTACAGTATAGAAAGCTGATGAAGAGAGGTTCAAATGCTCAAAGAAAAGAGGATCTGAATGTTTCCTTGTGCTTTCAATGCTTCCCTTAATAACACCTCCTGTTGCATTTAGTGGAGAGAACTGAAATTTCAAAAGAATTTCACAGTCCATAGTTGATTCCTGAAAGTATGAACCCAGCTTTTTGCAGCCTACCATACAGAGGTGTCCTGTTTCTTCATCATAGATCCCCTCAGCAGAAATTTCCTCTAGACCATCAGTACTCAGATTAGATATGCCACCAGCTAATGGATAAAACCTTATGTTGTAGCTGATATTTAATGGACTACTATGGTTAGCTTCTGTCTCAACAGTTGAGCTTTCTTCAACCATAGAGTTTGCATCAATGATCCCAACATACCCAGGCTCATAAAACTGATCACCCACAGAGATGGGGGCAGCAGAACCCCAAGCACTTCTTCCTTTAGAATCTTTCACCGACATGTCGAACCTCATATCATAAGAATTTCCACTTGGGTATCTCATCCCTTTGTTTTCAGAAGGCTTCTTTACTGGGCATAACTTTTTGACTCTGTCCATTTCAGTGTACTCATACTTCAAACCAGGAACACCAAACCTGTCATGGGAATAACCTCCAAACCTGATCCTATGGAAGTACCCAGAATCATTTTCAGTTCTGTTACTCCAAATTTGCCCAACAATATGCAATCTTTGTTTGATTGACCAGACTGCAGGGAATCTCAAGCTCAGCCTAGTTGAACAATCCCCAACTTGAGCATTTTCCAAAGAATCAGAGGGATTCAAGATCCGGCAAGCAACGATGCATAGCCTGTTCTTCTTTCCATCCCATGATCCTTCAGCAATCAATCTCGTGTTGGGATTGAAAGGTTGGTAACGCTCAATATAGCTACTGTTTGAAAACTCTACTAGATAGCGTAGTTGTGCCTTTTGTACACTCACAAAACACTGAATTTCAGACAAGGACATGAACGAATACCCAATACCCTTGCCAAAAAGAGTACAATTCTGAGAAGAATTGCACTCGCTGGAATATTCCAACATAAAAGGACTGATTTGCCTCGAGAGCATGGAACAAATACTTCTCGGTTGCAATTCAAGAGAGCGATTCGGTGGAATATCAATTCCGCCAGGACACCCACTATTGAATTCCTCTGAAACCAACGTGTATTTGTAGTAAATCATGGAAGGAAACCCCAATATTGAAATTGGTTCAAAGTAATTCGAATCATGAGAAGAACTCAAGCTCTCCAATGTTCCACCAACCAAACTAGTAAAGATAGTTGCATTCTTAGCATAATTAAGTTTAAGAACAGCGTCAAGTTTAAGAAAGTTACCTTCTCTTGAGTGCCAATTAGCTGAGCCCAACATGCAAAGCTTCCCAGAAGATTCAGACCAGAACCCATGTAATTGAAATCTCAGTGTACGTCTTCGAAATTCAGGAAAGCGCGATTGGCCATAAGTTGAATTATGCAGAACATAGGAATAGGAGGATGGGAAGATCAAGTAGGCCTGAATCTTGTAAACACCGTTGGCTTCTGTTTTATAAACTTGTCTAGTGGTACGAAAGGAGAGATATTTCTGGTAATCAAAGAATTGAGACGAGTTGTTGCCAAGAATTTTGTCACCGCCAGTGTAGATACCTGACGGTATTCGGAGGTGTGGGAAGGTCGTGTAGTCTGGAACAGTTGCGGCCGATTCGGGAACAGTTGAACTGCAGTGATCGATGTAAGAGGGTGGAGTTGTAGAAGAAGAGACTGTGGTTGAGAGGAGAGTGACAAGAAGGAGAAGCAAGAAAGAACTAAACCATGTGAGTTGATACCTCCTTTGTGAAGAGGCGATTGTCCAAGAAGAGTACTTCATGGCCATGATCATAGTTTTCTTCAAGGTATGAAGAGAAGAAGACTCCATTACCACAAGCTGTGTGATGCTTCTAACTTATAGAAGTGATTATATATATTATATTGTGTCTCGTATTTGTACACTGTATATATACAATAATACAAGTATTTTCTTCATTAATTAACCGAGGAACTCTTCAAATATTTATCATTAATTATACCAACTGACTATTTTTGGAGTTTAAAATTGGAATCCTACGCTTAACAGTTCAAAAGAAGACCTGGTACACATACATACATGTATATATGTATGAATGTATATGCTTCAAGAAGTTCTCACACCAGGGCACTAGACTTGGACTAAGCCAAAGTCAGCAATGCACGAAAAGTCTACTGAACAAAATTTCCTTGTACTTTATTTAAGAGAGAGACGTCGCATTATTGCGTATCTTAAATTTATTGGGACAACTGCGTCAACGGCAAGGAAGACTTCGGAAACTTTGCGCCAGACCCAAAGGGAAAGGCAATAAGATAAGAACAGTGATGATGGAGTTGTTATGTGCACTCCATTTTCGGTCAAATGGCACTCAACACTATGTATCTTTCCTCCTTTTGGATGATATTGTGTTTTCGTTTGGTATTAACAAATATATATATATATATATATATATATATATATATATAAAAATAAATAATAGGGTTAATTACAACGGCACCCCTTGAGATTTGACATAATGACAGCAATATATAGGTTGAGCCATTTATGAACGATGGCACCCCCTAGGTTTGATAAAGTTAACAAAGACACCCCAATGATCCTGAATTGACATTATTGCTCTTGACACATTCAATTACCAATTTATTTAATATAATTACTTTTTTATTGACTAAAATACCCCACCATAGCCACCACCACAACCACCACCCACTTGTCGCCGCCACCAATACTACCACCCCTTCTTTCTCTTCCTCCACCCACCACTATAACGTCTGCCACCACAACCAAAACACATCAATTGAACACATGAAAAACCAAAAAAAAATCCAGCCAATTGAACCCATGAAAAACCCACAAAAAATCCTAATTGTTGCACAAACACACAGATTCATAGATAAACTCGATGACCGGTGGAGTAAAGGCCGAGCTCTGCGCCATGCCTCGCCGCCACCGCTACCGTTCCGAGCTCTGCGTTGAGGACGTCTCGATCGCCACCGTTGTCGAAGAGAAGAAGCTGTTGGCCTTGATGAGTCTCGGAGGTTCTTTCAACTGATGTGGACTGACGAGGATACCATCGAGCCATTGCAGGATTCGCGAATCGTGAACCAGAAAATCGTCGCTAGAATCGCGACTGATTCCTTATGGCCGGCTCGAATTCTGATTTGCTCGGCAACGGCCTCTGCCAACAAAAACTCCGGTATACTCTTCGGCAATGGCCTCTGCCCGAACCTGCACCGTAATCTAAAACCCACTGTTACCGCCTCCATCAACGGCATCGCCGGACTGAAAAGAGATCAATCTCCACCGTTCCTCCACTTCAACATGTTTGTTGGGTTTTGTGTGGCTTTGCAGTGGTGGGTGGAGAGAGATTGGGGATTTGGGTGTGGCAGCGTAGTGGAGAGAGGTTAGGGAATTAGGTGTGGCAGCGTAGTAGGGCGGCGTCGATGAGAGTGGTGGCGGCTGGTGCTCTCTTCCTCGTTGTATATATATATATATATATATATATATATATTTATTTATTTATTTATTTATATTTATATATTATATGTATATTATGCTAATATTTTAATATATTACACTAATATTAGAGTAATAATTTAAGGGTAATAATGTATATATATGAGGACAAATTTGACTTTTCATGAGTTCTGATATTTTACAATAAAAATGAATTAAATATTGAAGGGCAATCTCGTCTTTTCTAACGTTTTAAGGGCTTGTTTGGATCAAAATTATCGTAAGGGGTGTCTTTGTCAAAAAAACAACTAAGTTGTATATGGTTGTCATTATATCAAACCTCAGGGGGGTGTCGTTGTAATTAACCCTAAATAATACTTATCTAAAAAATAAATAAATAACTCTGGAGAAACCAAGACCTATCGGAAAAACCACATGACAAAATCAAAACTACATCTCACACCGTGAACTAATCCTCATATTTAGAGATTATATGGGTCTGACATCTTCAGTAATTTTGAGCATGGAGTTCACCTAACCTTGGATCGACAACGGGAAGATGATCGAGCACCTGAGAAGCAAGCGACGCTGATTGGTTTCCAACTTTCCATCAGCCTTTAAAATGTGGTTTTGAGCAGTAAAACGCTGCAACCTGAGAGAGCGAACAACATCTTCGTCTCTAAGAAGAACGGTTAGTACTTGTTGAGATTGTCATTGGTTTTTCGATCTTCGTGCACCCGCTGGTTTGTGCAAAGGTTATTTTGGGTGATACAGAAGGATAGTATTGTCATTTTATTTTGTCTACCCATCAATTTAGTCATTTTAGATAGTCTTCTTTTTCTTCTTCTTCTTCTTCTTTTTTTTTTTTTTTTTTTAAAATAAATGAGATGGTTGGAGAATTTTGTGCAATTTGGCCCCCATTTACAAACAAGGCTCGTGAAATTGAATTTGATTCGTTGCATGATGCCAATGAAAAAATGGGCAAGGGTGCACTCGGATTGAACCTAATAATAAAAAAATCATATATTAAAATAATATATTTAATTTAGTTTGAGATTATTTAGTTTATAAATTATATATTATACATAATATATTCTATTGTTTTATGTTTTATACTAATAATGTAGAGAAGTGGTAAGTCTTTCGACCTCAATTGTCGACTCATCTTCCAAATACAACGTGGTTGGATCATATTGGAACTTTTAAAAAAAAATTCCGAATATAACATGGTTGGAAATGAGTCAAAGAGAAAGAGATATTTACGGGATTTTTTTTTAAGAGTTCCAACTGTTGGGAAACGTGCTAGTTTTAAAAACTTTTCGAGGGATTTTAATTCATAAATCTTGATTCATCACATAGAGACAAGTTTTATGCAAAAATAAAACATGATGTATCATTCAATTAAAAGATTGAATACTTACATCAAGGTTTGAGTAAACCTTAGATCTCTCCTCTAAAGTGAATGTTCTCACTTATTGTAGATCCCTTTTGTTAGACACCTTTTCCATGGATCTCCATCTTCTTGGTAATGGTCTTGCCTTTAGGAATCACTCATAAGCCTCCATGAATGACCTTGGAAAATTGGGCTTGTGGGAGCCTCCATTAGATGAGAACACTAACCCTAATTTTCTAGAGAGAGAAAATTTATTCCTTTTTCCTTCACATAAAAATCACCACTAAAATATACATAGACCATGTATATTTATAGGCAACATAAAGGTAAAGAAAAGGAAACAACTAATCCTTCTCAATCTCTAATTCACATGTCTCAAATCTAATATGATTCCAATATCAAGTTAGGCTATGAGTGAGAATCCATTGGGCCTATTATTTTATTGGCTACAATGAATTAATAATTGGCCCGGTCCATGGACCCAATTCAATTAATTCATAAATTAATTCCTACTCCACTAAAAGAAATTAATTGAACTCCAATTAAATAATAAATAACCTCTAAGTCAATATTGCACTTTGACCCCTCTATGCATAATTAGTTATCGGATAAATAAAGCCATCAATCCGACTACTTAATTAATATATTTATTTTGGTATCTTTGATTATTTCTGGCTCGATCACAATAAAAATATTTGTTTGACAAAAATAATAATTTAAATAAATAAATATATAATAAATCATTTTGTCTAAAAACATACGAAGGCCTTCGAATTTACTTTGTGATCAACCATAATCAATACAAAATAAATACAAGTAGCAATGATGCAAATATTGAAAATATAACTCTCTAACTATTAATTATATAACTACCCAAAGTGTCGGTCTAAGGATCCCGAAGAATCCGCCGAACAAATCAAAGTAATTATTAATTAATAAAAGAGTTTATAATTTTCTCATGCTTAAGAGTCAAATGCCATGACGGTGATAGGGAGCAATTGCATACGACGGCTCTCGCAATATATCTCAACCTAACGCGGATCCAGTTCAAGTCTTAATTAATTATGAGTCCATCCATAATTACCGACTATGAACCATTTATGATTACTATTTATATATCATACATTGATTGCCATCACATACATATAAATAAATATCTCTAGTAATCAAATGGACACTATCAATTCTATAATGAATTGAAATATAATACATTGAATTCACCAATTGTATAAAACATAAATATTTCAGAAACATCAGGAACATATGTCACTTTAATCCAAACAGGAATTTGTTATGCCAGGGCATATAAATCCCAACAGCTCCCACTTGCCCTCATAGCCAATTCAAATTGCACCTAACTCCAATGTTATCCAGATGATGATCAAAATTATTGATCAATGACACCTTTGATAATGGATCAACAAAGTTGTGTTCCAATGCAATGTTCTAGCTACAAGTACATTTTTTTGCCGGACAATATCATGTAAAACATGATACTTCCTCTCAGTATATCTTGTTCCTCTATAGAACCTTGGGTCATTGGTTTGGACTACTTTTGCACTATTATCACAACATAACTCAATAGGCAGGCTAGTGTACTCCACAACCTCCAAATCAGTGAGATCAAACCAATAGGCTTCCTTTGCCGCCTTTAAGGCTGCAATATATTCCACCTGTAGGTTTGAGTCAGCAGTTGAAATCTGCTTAACAATCTACCAACTGATTTCCCTTCCATTAAGTGAACATATACTAAGTCATGAACCTCATAGTATCTACTTCTGATTGAAAATCAGAACTAGTATACCTGACTAGGACCATATCATCACATCCATAAATGAGTATGATATCCTTGGTCCTCCTTAGATACTTAATGATATTTTTCACAACAGACCAGTTATCAAGTCCAGAATTGAATTGATATCTTTTGACTATCCCTACTATGTAGCGGATGTCCTATTTGGTATAGACCATGGCATATATGAGACTCCCATATGCTAAAGCA